TTTTATTAAAAAGCTAAGGCGCTAGATTAATTTATATACTAGTTATAAATATTAGGAATTTAAATACTATGTTAGTGTTAAAGTAGCCTATATACTTATACTAAATTTTTAGGCTTTTTAATAATATTTTTAAAGTTATAAAGTATTAAATTTTTATTTTTATTATAATATAAAAGGCCTTAATCTTTTTATTATTATTAATATTAAATTTCTTGTAGTAAAGTATGTATAATTTATAGTATTATTTAAGTATATAAAAATTTATTTTTTAAAAGTTTTTAAAAGTTTTTTTATAACTACTAAAATATAAATTTACTAATATAACTTTATTAAGAAATATAATAAAAATATAAAAGCTAGGAATATAAGTATAATTTTTAAATTTTAAAAGCCTTTTTAAGTTATTTAGTCCCTTGTAAAAAACACAAAGTATATTAAACTTTTTAATTTTATTAATAATATTATTAATAAAAATAATATTATTTTTAAAGGCATTATAAATATTAATTATTTTAGTAAGGTTATTAATAATATATATAAAAAATCTAAAGTTAATAATAACACTTTTATATAGGCTGTATTATAAGCTATTAAATAATAAATAAGTAATTATTATTATAACTTTTTTTAGGTTTTTAAAATTATTTTTTAGCCTTAATTTTAAATATTATTATATTAAATCTAAATTTTTTAAAGATATTTAATACTCTTTTTTTAATAGTTAAATCCTATATATTTTTTTTACTTTTTATAAAGTTTTTTTTTAAGGTTCTTAATCTTTTAAAGCTTTTTTAGTGTTAAAATACTAATAAAAAGTAATAAAATATAAATAATTATATACTAGGCATGTTAGCTTTAATTTATTATTTTTATTTTTACTATTTTTTTTAGATTTCTTGTTATTTTTAGTATTTTTATTTTTTTTTATTTACTAAGTTATTTTTTTAAGCATGGTAAAGGTGCTATTTATTAGCTATTATTTAAATTTATTATATATAATATAAATAGCCTAAAGTATATAAAATACTTTAAACTTTTTAATAGTATTAATAAAGTTTTTTTTTAAAAAAAAATAGCTATATAAAGCCTTTAACTAAACTTTTTATTAATAATTATAGTAATATATATAAAGTTTTAAAGTATATTAGTATTTTAATTACTAATAAAAATATTAAACTTTTTAGCTTTAATAAATATACTAACCTAGTAGTTATATTAATTATTAATTTATTTTTTAATAAAAAGGCCTTAGTAAATAGCTACCTTTTTTTATTTTACTTTAATTTTTATTTTATAGGTAATATTAAATTATATATAATACTTTATAAAAAATTAAAATATTATATATAAATATTCTTAGCTATATAAAAGTTACTAGTAAAAGCTAAATATAATTAAAATTATATAAGTTATTATTATACCTAGCAAAGCTTTATATTTTTTTTTAAAAAAAATATTTTTTTATTATATTATAATATTTATTTTATTTATTAAATATTAAATAATTTATTTAAAGTTTACCTTTTTTAAAAATATTAAAGTAGTAATCTTTAAAAATTAGCCTTGGGCTAATAAAAATAAGTAATAAGTTTTTATTATTAATTAAAAAATTAATATAATTTTATATTATAAGGCTTATAGCTATTAATTTAATAATTTAATATTATAAATATTATATATTAAGGTTATTTAAAGTAATAATATTAAACTAGGTATTTATAGGTAAAAATTAAAAGTTTTTTATAATATATTATATAGTAAATAAAAAGAACTTTAAAAGTTTAAATTTAAGTAATAAATAGCTTTAAAAATAATTATATAAATAATATTTAAAAAAGTAAAGTATAAGCCGGGCTTATAACTTTTAAAGTTATAAATATTTTAGGTAAAAATTAGTTATATAAAATTAGAATAAAAATTAAGAAGTAAATAAAATATAAAATTTTTTAAAATTTAAAATAAATAAGAATATAAAAGTTTAATAACTAAATATAAAAAAATTTAAGCTATATTTATTTTTTATTTTTTTTTATATTTTATTTCCTAATTAGGTCGTGAAATCCGGCTAAAGTTAAAGGTTAATTTTTTTCCTATCTTTAAAGGTTGGTTAGAGTTATCCAACTAAGTTTGCCGCGGAGATCCAAGGGATCTCCACCTCTTGTCCAACATCCTCCGCCTTGTTCCTCGCTCGTTCCTCCGCTCCCCTTCCTTCTCACTCACTCCCGCTTGAACAAGCCACGATCGAGGAAGAGGGCTGCCATTGCCTGCAACTACTGCCGCTGAAGGTAGCTGTCATCCGATCTCTACCAACCGAATACTGCTAATTGTCAGGAAACGCCGGTGTGACGGAGCACAGCCGACATGCTCGCTCTGCCAGGCTGCGAACAAACACTGCTCCTACCCAGCGGTTCAGTCATGAGTCTCCCTACCCGCAAGCGTCTCCGTGGCTGAGATCGTCGATAATCCAGATCCAATGACGATGATTCTACCGATCGTCTAGCTCGGCTAGAGTCTATTCTGGCGGAGCAGGCACGCGCCCTATAATCGCTTCGCGACCAGATAGGTAAGCATTCCGGTACCGGCCGACGAACCACTCCCTCGCCACGAAGGCTTTGTTCGGCGTATAAACAATGGCGAGGCGGAGATACCGGTTGCGATGCCGCCTGCAATGGAGTCGGAAACACCGGTCGATTACCTGGGGTCGATGACAATCCCTATCGGACATGCCACGACCACAGGCAATTTACTACATACCGCTCCTATCAAGGCTCTGCTTGGAGACTATCGTAGCAACCTGTTTCTCCGAGTGGAGCAGAAACGCCCGCTTCCCCCGGAGCTGTCTCTCTCTGTTCACTCCGGGGAGATTTCGCCGCCAGCCCTCGATAGGTTGACCGTCGCGCTGGTGAATCACTATTTCCAAGCTATCCATCCGAAACACCCAATTCTCGGCCGAAACCGGTTCGATGTCATGTACACCTCACTCGACTCTCAGGCATCCACGTTTAGCTACGTGTCAGTCCTCGTATTGATGGTTCTTGCCGTGGCTAAACTTGACATGAAACTCCCTGCAGCGGAGGGTCACCTTCCTGGGATCGAGTATACTCGTCCAGGACTACAATACGTACTCCGAACGTGGGCAGATGTATGTTGCACCGCCATCCATCTCTCGCAGTCTCTTGCCCTTGCCGCCCTGTACTACGGCTACCTGGGCCGCCCACTTCAAAGCCGGCGTCTGGTCCACATGGCGTCGACTAATATCCAGCATGCTTTCTTTCAATGGACAAATCTGCGAAACCAGAATCTGCTTCGAGCATGCTGGACTATTTTTGTCCTATAATGTGACCTCGTGGCTGAATACCATATGCCTCGAAGTGGGATTGAGAATCTTATCAACCAGCTGCCGTACCCCGACTGCGGCCCGTTCCCTCGGCCATATGAATCTTTATGGCTGGCGAACATCTCCGCACGAAAGCTACTTAACCGCATCCACTGCACAATATATGCCTCCAATTCTTTGGCTTGGGATGATCCGCTACCGGGCGCACTGTTCGCTTTAGCGGACGAACTGGCTCTGCAACAGCAGACATGGTGGGATCTTGTGCCGGCGTCAATCAAGCCGGAGCTTAACAAAGACGACCCCAGCCCGAACGAAGCAATCCTGTTGCTCCGGTACCATGCCTGCGGCGATATCATTGCCCGGCCCTTTCTCCACAACATCTGTTCACAGCGACGCAGCACTCGACCATTTGACGATACCTTCAATCAAGCACTCACATGCCTTGACCATTGCCGCGCCTTTCTCCGTATTGTCCCAACAGTACTCGATAGGGCCGCATCCATCTATCGGAATCTATCTTCATTCGTTCGTCTTCTTCGCGAATACTACTTCTAAACCTTGACTAACCTGTACTAGTACACTAGCCGCAGTCGTCAACCTGGCCCTCGCATCCCACTCTTCCTGCCTGCGCGATGTGGTTGCCGACATCCAGACCCTTGAAGACCGAGCAATTGCCATACTTGGGCCGTGGGGGAAAAATGGCTCCAGCGTCGAGGCGATGCTTCGACTAGCCATCTCATTGCGTGACAAAGGGCGAATTATGCGCATGATCAGGTAGTATTTGGTAACAATGAATCTAACCTGCATATCTATAGTTCTCTAGATTATCTACTACAACATCCACAACTGCGGAGACGTTTTTTGAACTGGTACCCACAAAGCACTGGTACACCCCGGGGTACACCCTCCAACCACCAATCTGTGCATCATACCAAGCGAATGTGCTCGAGTCTAGAGTAATTTCAACCTGCTTATCCTCTCCAGGAGCCACATCGACCTTTTCAAACCCAGCTAGTCCTTTCGCGACACGCTGATCTGTCGGAATCGCATCAGAAGTGGAAACATAGATTTGGACGACTTCCTTCCCAGAGCAGCTGCCGATGTTCGTCACAACGGCATAAATTCGCGCCTCGCGCGTCCCATCTGCGTCGAGGCTACCGTGAACTTGGACGTCACTGACCCGGAAGCTAGTGAAGGACAATCCATATCTGAACGGCCAAAGCGGCTCCAGGCTATGCGCGTCGAACCAACGGTACCCGACGAGTACCCCTTCTCCGTACTAAGCCTTGTTAGTATCTGCATTCCCTGGGAACCACGAATGCAAGCCGTGGTCTTCGATACGCTTCGGGAAGGTGACAGGAAGCCTTCCCGATGGGTTGACTTTGCCAAGTAGGACGGAAGCCAGAGCGTTTCCATTCTCCTGCCCTTGATACCAGGCGTGCACGATTGCAGGGACTTGGTCCACCCACGGCATAGAAGTAGCACATGCGGACTGGGTGACGACCACTGTGTTGACATTCACGGATGCGTTTGCCTGAATGAGCGTGTCCGTCCGGCGTGGAAGAGACAGTGAAACGCGATCGCATCCTTCGCGTCCGGTGTTGTTATTATGCCAGCAACCAAAACAACTACGTCCGCAGTTTTCGCGGCTGCCACCGCAGCGCTAAACATGGCATCCTTGTTGTGCTGGATCAGCATGCCGACGTTGACTCCGGCAATGCGGTGGAAGAGCGTATTCACGAGGTCGGGTCGGCGGAGGCACAACAACACTGTCAACCCTGAATGCGTAGTTCCGGCCTGCGCTGAGATACATCATAGCCGACTTGTCCGGGCTGCTGCAGTTCATGAAGTTGGCGCAGATCCGAGTCCATTCCGTATTGTCGATCGACAGCTCGTCCACATAAACCTCGGCCTTCCCGGTGTTGGACAGGCTGAAGTCATACGTTCCGCTGATGGTTGGTGTGAATACGCCCCTAGCGCGGAAACAAAAGCGCTTCCCCTTCAGTTGGGCAGGGATGTCTCCGTCGCTCATCAGGTAGACCAGCGAGTCCTGCCAGTACGTTGTGGCGACGACACCTCCTTCGAACTGGTGGCCCTGGTAAAAGTCAACTTGGACGCCCTGGGCAGAGCCATCGGGTGTCTTGAGGATGTCTCCCAGCAGTGGCAGGTGCAGATGGGTGAGGATGCCTTGCTCGTAGGTAATCTCCAGCTGTGGATTGGCGACTTTGGCGGCCGTTACCAGGGAATCGTACGGATTGGTCACGTAGTAGGGGTTGACAATGGCACTGCCACTACCACCAGCCGTGGGCGTCTTTGCATTGGGCCCGATGATGGCGAGTTTTCTCAGCGTCGTCGGTCGCAGGGGAAGAAGTCCGTTCTCATTTTTCAGCAGCACGATTCCATCTTCGGCTGCTTCTCGTGCGGTGGCGCGGAACTCGGAGCGATCCAGCATTTGCTCGCCGTCCATGACACTGACGCTGGACTCGTCGATCTCCATTGCTGGGTTATCTGTACTGCCTCCTGACCAGCACCCTGCTCGGTTAAGAAGCTTCAATACGCGGAGAACTGAAGAATTGATATCTTCCTCTTCCGAAACCACTCCCTCTTTGACAGCGTCCTCAAGTGCCTTCCCGTATCTCAATGCCGGTCCAGGCATCTCCAGGTCCGTCGAAGCCTTGATACTTTCAACTGTCGAATTCAGTCCTCCCCAGTCACTCATAACCAGCCCCTGGTATCCCCATTCCTCCCGCAGAATATCCTTGATCAGAGTCCGACTGCAATCCGCGTGAACTCCGTTGATCTTCGGATACATGGCCGTCCACGGATCCGCGTCCAAAGTCATCTGGAACGGTCGGAGGTACATCTCGCGCAATGTCCGCTCATCAATGGCCTCGTCCATGTTGAACCGGCGAGTTTCTTGATCGTTCGCAACAAAGTGTTTCGCGCAAGCGCCGACTCCTTCGCTCTGCACGCCAGTAATGTATTCCCTCGCCAGGGACCCCGTAAGAAACGGATCCTCTCCAAAGTTCTCGAAATTCCGATCGCTGAGGTCCATTGTCGGTGCCAGCAATACATGCGCTTGCTTGTTATGCGCTTCCGCACCCAGAACAGCCCTGATGCGCCGCACAATGTCGTGGTCAAATGTCGCTGCGAGCGATATTCCGCTGGGGATGAAAGTTGTGCGCGACCCCTCGGTCCATTTCGCACCGCGCACACCGGCCGGCCCGTCTGTTGCTTTCAGCGAGCGGATTCCGAGACATGGGATGGGTGTTGTTTCCCACATATTCTTGCCGGAAAGGAGGGCTCATTTTTCGGACAGCGTTGGGGCGTGGAGGAGGGTGGTGACCGTGGTGTCGGCATCATTGTCTGCTGCCATCTTGCCACTGCACTAGGGAGCAATGGAATGCAATTGGAAATGTGTCTCCTTATTGCAGTGATAGCTGTCTCTTTAAATGATTATCGTGACGATGCCGTTCGTTGTGACTGGAGCGGCAGAGGCGGGCCCCTACCGCTGCCAACATTCATATCTCAAACTACCATCCCATGGCCTCGACCAAACCCAGCGCTCGCGGCGTAAGCATCGCCAGCTTCACCAACATGTTTACTGTTGGTACCGTGTACGCCCTTAGTATCTTGCAAACCGAACTCCCAAGACTCTTTGACGATGCAATCCCCCACAGCTACTCATATTCCTTATCCGCGGCGTTGTGTTGATGACATTCTCTCGCCTTCGCACTCCACTTACGTTTCTAGTGGCCGTTGCGTCGGTCTTATTCAGCCATGGAGTCGGGTTTAGTACACTCCCCGGTGTCATCAAGAGTAGAGTTGATGGATCGTCTTTCGCGTACGAATACGGCCTGGTCCTTACGACTTGGGGATTGGCGGGTGTGGTGGGGAGTGGAATCGATGCGCTTGCTACGCCTGAATCCGGCGATTTTACTGCTGTGAGTACGGTTCTTGGAGACCTGACGCTGGGGTTTGCGTTGGGTATAGGCTTGATTTATTCTGGTCTTGCTGGAAGTGGGTGCCTGAGGCCACCGGCGGCCTTAGGGCTCCGGTGGAGGAAGGTTATTCCAGCCCAAATAGCCACCCGTAAAACTCTTTATTTATCCCTAGAATATTTAGCTTAATACACCAAGTAATATAAAAGACTTTTATATATAGTAATTATTTATTTTTTTTAGTAGGTTATAAGCCCGGGTTTGCTTAACTTATATACCTAACTAAAAGTCTTTTTTTTTTTAAGTTAACCTATACTAACTAAATACATGGCATTTTCTTATTTTGCCTATCTAGCTTTATATTTTTTTTATAACTTTATTAATTATTATAGTAGTTAAAAAGCCCTATGCTTAAGGCAAAGGCCTTATTATAGGGGTATAAATACTATAGCTTTATTTTATTTTACTTTAAATTTTTTATTTTTTTTTTTTWTTTTTACCTTTTTAATTAGCTTTTAACTTTATAAATATCCGCTTCCTAGGGCCACATGTATTTAATTTTTTAATAAAAATAAGTTTTTTTTAGTAATTAAAAAGTTTTAGAACCTTTAAAGGCACTATAACACCTTTAGGTTTCTTAATTTAAACTTTAACTTTAACTACTTCTTAAAAATTTAAATTAACCTTTAAATATTTAACTAGCCGTTCCCAGTTACTAGTTTTTTTTTTTTTTTTATAATTATCCTAGTATAGGCTTTAGCCTATTTAACCTTAATCTTACTATAGTAACTTCTTAGGGCTTACTATCCCTAACTACCTTAAATTTTTAATCCCCAAGTACTTTAATTCCCGGTACTTAAACCACTCTAATTCTTTTACTATTTAGTTCTTTTATGTTTAGTTTTTTTACACCAAGCTAAAATAAAAAAAATAACCTTAATTAAAGTAGAAAACATCCTAGTTTTAACCTTAAAAAACTAATAGGTTAAATAAAACTAGCAGGTATCCCTAGAACTTTAAAAGGCCAGCTATAGCTACCTTTTAAAGTAGCTAAACTAAAGGCACCCTGTAAAAATTTTTACTATTTTTTTTTTTATTATACTAGCTCTGGCAGGCAAAGATACTAAGACCCCTAGCTAATAATTTATTATAAGCCAAGCTAAAAACACAAGTATTAATAATAAAGTTTTAATTACCACTATGCCTCTTGTTTAGCCTATTATTAAAACCATTATTATTAAGGTTATTATTAAGCCTACACCCCTAGTAAACCATAATAAGGCTAAGATCTAGTAGCAAAACTAAGACCATGCCATAACTTTAATTTTTAGCTATTTAGGTTTTAATTTATAAAATCTCTTTACTAATAAATAAATAGTTTATAAACTACTTAACAAGATTAAAAGTTACTTAAAACCTAATATTAATACCATGATTTTTAAGGCCTGGGCTAACCTAATATTTTTATTTTATAATAAAAGTATTCCTAACCTTAGCAAGAAACTTAGGAAGATTTAGCAGGAATTTACCTATATTAATATTACTTTTTTAATTAAGCTTGCTATTACTACCTTTTATTAAGCCCTGGGTAATTAATTTAATTATTTTAAGGCTATATACTTTAATAACTATATTATTAAATACCTTCCAGGGGATATTACCACGCTAATTACCTTTTTAAATAATTTTATAATTACTACTAAGTTTATAAAATTAAACTAGAACTAGGGTACTAGTACCCTAGTACTTTTTTTTAGCAAGGTATCTAAGCCTAATACTAAATACTATAAGAACTACCTTAATATTATTTAAATATATAAAAATAAGGGTACTGTAAATATTATTACATGTTATTATTTTTATTATAACACGCTATTTTATAACTAAAAAACCTATTATTAACTTTATTTTAAGCTTAAAATTACTTAAAAAAACTTCTAGGGTGGCAAGGGCGCTAAGCACCCCTAAAAAAATTTTAAATTTAGGGAAAATATAAAGCCTATATTTAAGCTAGTACTTATAGCTTAAATTAGCTTTAATTTTAAGTAAAAAACTATTTAAAATAGTTTTATTTAATAAATTGCCTTAAATAATAATTATACATAATATATTACCTATAATTACTTTTTATTTTAAAACCTTAAGCCTTATACTAGCCCTGGTATTAAGAATATTAGCCCTAAAGTTTTTAGCACCTAGGGTATTAATATTATTAAAATCCCCTATTATATTAATAGCTAGCTTAAAATCCTGGCTTTAAATAATATTTTATATTACCTTAATATATTTTTCACGCTAATTTTTATTTTTTAGCTACTAAATAAGCGTTGCTTAGTTAGCTTTAGGTAATAAAATATAAAAGCTAAAAAATTATAAGGTGCTAATATTATTACCCTATATAACTATAAATTAGCTTAGTATATAGCCACTAAAGTTTATAAAATATTTTTTTTTAACCTTTACCAGGGCCTAGTAATACTAGCTATTTTAATACTAGTAGCCTTTATTTTTTAAAATAAATTTTCTTATTTTTAGTATTAATAAATAGGCCACACCTTTAAAAATTAGCTTAATAAAATAAAAAAGGTGGTCCGCGGCATGCACATGCCTAAAAACTATATTTATAAATCTTATATTATTACACGCTAGCAGGCCAAGCCTTATAAAAGCATTATAATATTTATTAATTAATTATTTAAACTACTTTATATAAACGTCTCCGGCCTATATTTACTTTTATTTAATAAAAAGGCATATATTAACTTTATTATAAATAATAAATCCTATTATTACTAGGTTACAGCGCTAGCTAGCAAGAATAAATTTATTACTTAGGCCTTTATTATTATTTACTAGTATAACACACCTAAACTCCTACTGCGCCGCGTATGCTATAATTAAAAGGGGGAGAATATTTATAACCTATAATACTTTATTTATAGCTTTAAAGCTATTATAAAAATATTTAGTATAAACTAGCATAAATAAAATAACCATGCTAAAGTACTTATTAATAAGCTACTTAGTTTTATATAGTTTATATTATATAATACTAAAGCCCTAGCTAACATGTGGTCTAAGTTTTATAAAAATACTAGTTATTTATATAATTAAACTTTATATTTTACACTAAATAATATTACACTATTTAAAGCCTGGTATAGCCACTAGCTAAATATCTTTTATATTTATATTTTTTAGTTCAAGGTCTATGTTTTAAACCTATTAAAAAAGTAAAAAAAGCTTTGTAAGGATAGTAAAACAAGAACTAAAAAACTAGTTAGGTTTAATAAAAAAATAAATAAGTTATACCAGGTTTTCCTGGACAATAGCCACGTGGTTTTAGTATATAATATTAATATTATTAAGAATTATTGCATTAGGCCAGATTTTTTACTAAAAGCAACTGCTTTAGCGCCTTTAGGGATTTTTATCCCTAAGGCTCCAGTGCCTTTAAAAACCTCCATCCCTAAGACTTTAACCCCTCCAGGGATCTTTATCCCTAAGGCATTACTTTTAAGCCCTTTAGGAATCTTTATCCCTAAGGCGCTTAAAGCTCCTATTTTTTTAAAAATCTTTATCCCCAAGAGCTTACCAGCTAACACTAACCTAAATATTAAAGGGAACCTTAAAAATAAATCCCTAAAGAGCCTAGCTTTTAGGGACCTTTTTAGGTATATAAACCCCAAGGATCTAGTAATAAAAGCTATTAATTTAATTATTAAAGCTAACATATTCCTAAAAAACCTAGATTTTAACTATAACACCAGCCTAGTATATTATACACGCGCTTAGGCTACTATAAATCCTAAAAAAGCTTTTTAAATCCTAGACAAGCTAGCCTACCTATTTTATTCCTAAAATATTACTAAAGTCACGTGAAATAGGATTACCCTAGCTAGTAAACCTTATTTAAATAACCTTTAAGTACTAGCTAGCAAGCCTAGCTTAAATAATATTCTAGTATTAGCTATAACACTTTACAAGTAAATTTTTAAAAAAAATAAATTAATAGTTTAGCAAGCTAAGGCTAAAAATAAATAAAATAAGTAATTTAAGGGCATGCAGGAAAAATATAATTTTTTAATAAAAAACAAGACCTAGGATTTTATTAACCTGCTAGCTAAAAAATACTTACTCCCTAGTAAATAGGTCCTAAAAATTAAAAAAAAACTAGAAGGCTAAATCCTCCGCTATAAGGCTTGCTAAATAATTTATAGCTTTAAGTAAATTTATAGGCTTAACTATTACAAGACCTTTACTAAAATAGTAAAGCTAATAAGCTATAAGCTACTTTTTGCTATTATTACCATGCTAAACCTTAAAATTAAATAAATAAATATAAAAATAGCGTTTTTATATAAGAATATTAATATTATAATTTTTATAAAGTAGCCTTACCTTTTTATTAATAGCTTTAAGTATATTTACTAGCTTTAAAAGGCTTTTTATAACTTAAAGTAAGCACCGCGGATCTGGTACTAATTACTTATAGATTTTTTAGCTATATTAGGCTTTTATTTTATTTATTTAAACCTAAAAGTCTTTACTAATAGCAAGATTTTTATTATTATATATATAAATAATCTCTTGCTAGTTAATAAAAATAAAATCTAGATTTAAAAAATTAAAAATGCCCTAAGTAAGTACTTTAAAATATTTAATTTTAGCCCGTGCTATTACTATTTTAATATAAAGGTTTATTAAAATTAGGCTAACTAAATACTTTAGCTTTTTTAGCTTGGCTATATAAATAAGATCCTTTACTAATTTAGCATAAATAATTTTAAGGTTTATAGCATGTTAATAAATCCCTGCTTAAAGCTAAAGCCTGCTCCCAAAAAGTACTTAGCTTTAGTAAATATTTTAAAATAATATTAAAGTGCTATTAAGTTTTTAATATACCTTATACTAGGTACTTAAGCTAATATTACCTACCCCATATTTATTTTAAGCTATTTTTTTACTAAACTTATAAAAAAGCACGTAGTAACTATTAAGCGCGTGTTTTATTATTTTTAAGGCTTTGTAAACTATAAACTAGTATTTTTTAGGGATTTTTAACCACTAATTAGCTATACTAATACTAACTAGGGTAATAACCCGGAAACACGCTGTTTTACCTCTAAATATATATTTTATGTGGGTTTTACAGCCATTAGCTAGTCTTTTAAGTATTAGCCTACCATGGCTCTGTCCTCCTATAAAGCTAAGTATATAAAAAAAATATAAATTACTAAAAAGGCTATCTAGCTTTACTACTTACTAAAAAAGCTTATAAATACCTAAAAAAAGGATCCCACTACTATTATAATTTATAGGAATAATAAAGGCGCTATAATACTAGCTAGTAATCCCTAGTTTTATACCAGGAGTAAGTATATTAATATTTAGCACTATTTTATTTAAAAAAAAAGGCTAAAGGCATTATTAATATTTAGTTTATTTTTATTAAAAAATAAATAGTAAATAGTTTTATTAAGCTATTAGGGCCTAAGGTATTTAAATACTTTAAAGCCTTACTAAAAATCCTTTTTAAACTTACATAAGTAGGTTTTCTAGTAGTTTTTATACTAGGATTAGCCTTTTTTATACTAGACTTATAATAACTTACGTACTATAAAACCATGCTTAATAATTTTTATTTTTAATTTATTATTATTTTATTTTTATTTCCAGGGATTAACCCTGCGGTAAAGGTAGTATAATATTACCTTATTTTAAAACCTTACCCTAGTTTTATATAATACCCTAATTATAGCACTAAAAGTTAATATATTTTTAGCTTAATTTAATAAAATTCCTAGTGCTTTTTATATTTACCCACGGGAAATCTTATTTTTAAATACTAAAATATAGGCTTACTGGCGTGATTAGCTTATTAACTACCTTAATTAAGATCTTTATTTAATATTTTTTTAGGCTTTAAAGCGCGGCTACACCACGTGGCTAGTGGCCTTTAGGACCCTAAGACTTTTCTAAATTAAGCAGCTAAATAATACTATTAGCTCCTAGCACATATAGGCTGCTATAGTAATCTTATTTTTTAATAAAAAAAAAAAAAATATTATTATTTAGGATTATAATCCCTGCTATAATCCCGCTAGCCTACACCCTAAAAACTTTATATTTAGGGCTTAATTACACCTACTATAGCTGCTAGGCTAATACTATACTATTTAAAATATATAATATTATACTAGCACTAAATTCTCCGGGGAAGATTAATACCTAAAATATATACTTTAGTAAATTTAGTGTACTGTTATGCTGGGCAATCTGCCCTATAATAAAAATTAAAATCCCTAAATAAATTACTGCATATTAGTTTATTACTACTAGCTAATAATACCTTTTATATAAACTAGGCCTTATTCTTGCCCCTAAAATAGCTTTTACATGCTTTAATATTTATTATTACTTTTTTAGCTATAAAAAAGCTATATAATTTATAAAAAAGCTAGTAAACGCACTAGCTAGCCCTTAGATTTATAAATTACTTAGCTTGCTATTTATTATTTAATCCGCCCTGGGCCACCCAGTGCCCAAAGCTTTTATTAAAAGTTTGCTATTTTATATATTTTATTACTATTTACTTATATTTTTAGGAACTACTTTAGCCTATTAATACCTAAAGCTTTTATTAATACTTACTATTTTTATTATTTTAATTACTAGCTTTTTAACACTTGCCTATAAATTATACCTTTAGGGGAGCCTTTTTTTAGGATTAATAACCTATAGCTTATTAATTTAGGGGAGACTTTTTTTATGCTAGCAGCCTATAATTTACTAACTTAAGAAAGTTCTTGGTATAAATAAAAAAAAGTACTAAAAATAAGTGCCTAAGGCTACCAGCGGCCTTAGGGCTCTAGTAAAAAAAGGTTATTTTAGCTTAAATAGCCACCTATAAAACTCTTTATTCATCCCTAAAATATCTAGCTTAATACACCAAGCAATACAAGAGACTTCTACATACAGTAACTATTCATTCCTTTTAGTAGGTCTTTGCCGAGTACGCGGACGTCGCAAATGATACATAAACTAACTCCCTCAGAAAAAGCTCGGTAGGAGCAATCCATCACCCATATCCTGCAGGAACTGAGCCGGTAACATGATATCTTCGATTCCATTGTCCCAGTTTGAAATAAGTGGGTCAAGGGCATTGTACAAACCGCTGGGGCCAGCTTCCACTTGATTGTTCTGTTCATCCCATATGGTTCCGTTCGAATCAATGTTCGTACTTTGCGCCTCTGCCTCTGCTGGAGAACGAGTGCTCTGTACCTGGGCTTGCCTTAGCCCAGTTAGGGCAATTTCATAGTCTCTGGCTGAAGGGTGGACATCGACCATACAATTCAGAGTGTGGATGCACCGGTCCCATGCGCGATCTCGGTGGTCTTTGTCCGGCCCTTCGAAAGACGCATCGGACGAATACGCCAAGAGGAGAATAAACCCTGCGCTGATCAAGTCTATGATGTATTAGTTCTGCTGACTCGGGTGAAATAGCGTATGACCTACAGAAGATCCCATACCACCAGGCACCTGAGGCGTCTTGCATTGTCGCCCTTGATAGAGATTCGATCAGGTCGCATGCCGCCTGGACACAGCCTGCTGCGCAATTGGAACGGCATAGCACCGACCATCGTCGCGTCCCTGGCTTCGAGTTGACTTCGCCCTGGTTGGTCAATGACGAACAATATTGACTGAACGCCGTGCGATATAGCAATAGCCGCAAATGCAAGAATCTACACGTGTCAGCGGAGCCATCCAGCTTTCCATCATTCGATCTTGAATTACCTAGCATGAAGAACATTCGATAGTCGCCTGCACAGCGGGACTGCACTGAGTGGCGACTGGGCGCCAGGGTCCCACTGCAGAGCCGGATTAAGTGACTGTTCATACTCGACCAGAGCACAGTCGATATCCAGTACTGCCTGAAGATTCAACGCTGCCTTTTGCGGTGTGTTGGGCTCCGATGTTGGTTCCGCACTGTGATAAATGGTCGACAGGATTTTGCCCAGAATACCAGTCAACCTCGTGTTTTCGTATAGAAATAGATTCCCCGAGACTTCGCCGGGCGGTTGCTCGACCGTCCCCTCCATCGCCAGGTACTTGTCGTCAATTGGAGACGGTAGCGGGACGTTGTAAGGAACGGGGGTCATTGCTGGCCGGCCCATTGTCATGCTGACCATACTGGGCATGTAAGCATCCATCTGCAAGGAGAGAGTGGAACACCTACATATCCATGTGCACACAGGCACACCAAGTCCGCCATCGAATCTCCTTTTCTAGGTTTGTCATGTCGCTGCCATACCGGCGGAGGTGGAGTCCCAGCCCGATCGATATGCGATATGCCATCCCCACGATGTTCCAGCATCGGTTGGGGTACGGCGTGCATTGCAGGTAGATGGCGACCAGCAACAGGGCTTGGACATGCGCAAGGCTTCCATTGTCGAGAATGTCGATGTTAATAAGTCCCTTCATGCGCTCATAGAACATGAGCGACGTTGATCGCTTCTCTTGAGGGGGCATGTTGGAGAATTCACATGCTATGGCGAACATGGCGTTCAGGGCACAGTAGAACATTATCGGAGGACAGTTTCTCCCGCCAACACCAACATCAGGAAAGCTATCCAACGGAGTGCCATCCTGACTTGACCAGATGAAGTCGTACGAGGCCAGGAAGCTTTCCTTGTGCACCCAGTGATAGAACAAGTGGGAGCTGGTAAAGTAGATGTTCATCAACCAGTCGGCTGTCTTTCGGGGAGGAAGAGAGTAGTCGTCCGATAGCAACGAGGAGAGGCCAGGAGCACAGGCGACATTGCAGGATGCGGCGGAAGGAGTCGCTGGTTGCGGCTACCGTCGGGGAGTGGCGTATTCCTGCACCAGCGACACCAGCGACGTCTGCCCATAGCATTGGTCTACAAGATCCGTCTGACCTACATCGGTCGCGGGGGCACCCATGCCACTGATTGATTTTGATAGCGACGGGCTTTCAGGCGATGGATAGTGCTCGCAATGTTCCTGGATCTGAGCCTGACAAGAGACGGGAGGTCTGACTGGCGGTGCTGGGACCGGAGAGGTCATTGACGGGTGATGGCTGGGGTATCGACTCCTCCAGGTAAGCGATATGGTCACGCAATGACTGGATGTAGCTTGACGTGAGTCAGTTTAACTATAGCAGGCCGAACCAAATCCCCGGCGAGCATTCATCATTGCTACCAGCTAAGCGTCGAATATCTTGCCTGGGTTCATCAGCCAGTGGGGATCCAGCGCCGCCTTGACACTCCTCATCACCTCCAGCGAGCCCTCGTCCACCTCGTGCGTCATGAATTCCTTGCCTAGCCCAACCCCGTGTTCGCCCTGTGCCGGTCAGCATCGCCTCCCCCCACTGCCGAAGGAAGACATACCGTGCACGTCCCGTCCATATCCAACGCTCGGCGGACCATGTCATGGACGGCCTTGCTCACCCGGTCGCGGTCCTTGAGCCCATCGAAGAGCCGGTGCCTCCCATCTTATTAACCACGTCCATCTGCACGTCGTCCAGGATCTCTACAGCCCCGACTGGAATTCCGGCGTGCACTATCTGGATCGCGGCCAGCGCGGCGTCTCTCATGCTCGAGAAGGTCGTCACCGCGACCGCAGACTTCTCTGGGATGGGCGCCAGCTTGAGAGTCGCTTCTGTCACGAATCCGAGGGTGCCTTCTGAGCCGGTAAAGAGGCCGTTGAGGTTGTATCCGGCGGATGATTTTCTGGGGGTCGTTAGCCAGGAATGGTTCACACGATCAGCAACGTACCTCGGTCGCTTTCGCGTCTTGATGACCCCACCGTCGGCGAGGACTACTGTCAGATTGATCACCCAGTCATTCATCGTCCCGTAGCGGATGGCGTTGGTGCCACTGTGCAGTTAGCAGCGGTCAACCTACTTCTGTGAAACGAATACCTGCAGTTGGTCGCAACCATTCCTCCGATCTTAGCCTGTGACGGGTATTAGGCTGTGTTCATGTTCTTGTTCTCAGGGCTTGTTGCTCACCGGTGGCCCTGGGTCAACAGGGAAGAACAGCCCGCTGTCCTTGATCTCGTAGTTCATATCGACCCACGACACGGCCGGCTGGACGACGATGTCCATGCTGTTCGTGGTGAGCCTTTGGTCGCTCGGTGTCAACGAGGATACATACTCCTCCGGATGAAACTCGACGATCTTATTCATGTTCATAAAGTCCACGCTGACTCCGCCAAAGGGGGCTGAAAAATGCCCTTCAATGCTGGATCCTCCGGAAAACGCAACTAACAAGCGGTCAGCTTCTTCAACACCAAATGCGAAAGTACACACTCATCGGGACTCTATATTCGTGACATATCCGGGCAATCGCTGCAACGTCCTCCGTCGATTGTGGATACGCCACGGCCACAGGAAGTCTGTCGATGTTGGTGGATGAATACTGAGAGTACCCATGGTTCTTCAAGTCCTCTTCATCAGTACTGATGGCGTCCTCGCCGAGCTCGTTGTGGATTTTCTCAACTGCCTAGAGTCTCTGTTAGAACAGTAGAACCAAGTAGGTTGTGCTTCGGTCACCTTGTTCATCTCTTCTCGAGTGGCGTACACTGGATTTGTCTGCCCTGGCTTCGCATCTTGCGTCTTCTGTGTCCTGAAGTATACCAGTCCGCCCGTTACGACTGAACCGACGCCCGCTGCTATCAGTGAGCTCAATCAGGATCTGTTGCATGGCTGTGACCGGCATTGCGAGTCGGGCTCCGGGCCTGACTGCTGCTGAAGCGCCGCCCGAGCGATTGAGAACGGTCGGATGGTCCCTGTCACACGAGTCGGAATTCGACATCTCGGTTGGAAGCGTATTGTTCTTAACATTTTCCTCGTCAAGGATCAGCTTGGTTGGTGCTGCTACCGGCGTTGTCTGGCTTTTACGTGCCGGCAAGTATATAGGAATGTCTCTCGGCCCTGTGGATCATCCGATGTGATCGCCTCGTGCGGAAAGATCCCGGTTATTTCATGTCCACCCTTTCCTGAGGGTTCCGACTATCCGGGATCAGCTCCAGGCGTTCGATGAATAGGCCGGGCGTTACCCGGGACCCTCGGGAAATACCCGAGACTGATACTATTCCCAGATGCACGGCAGTCAACACGTCTTATATCACTACAATGTCTCGTGCAGATTAATTTCACGCGCTTATCGAGCTCAAGACCGGTCTCCAAGCAATTATTTACACAACGATGTGCGACCTTCCCAATCCAGAAGCACACCTGCTAATCCCAGCACAGGTACACTGCGTCCTACGCCTTCTTTGAAGCCCTCTGGGAACTGGGCGTGAAGAACTGCTTCGTGAACCTGGGCTCCGATCACCCAAGTATCATGGAAGCCATGGCCAAGGGCGTAAAGGAAAGGCCCGAGCCCGCGTATCTACACATGTACCAACGAGATGGTGGCGCTGTCGATGGCAGACGGCTACGCGCGCGTGACGAACGAGCCCCAGTGCGTGATTATCCATGTGGATGTTGGCACGTCGGGCCTCGGTGCTGCGATCCATCCCTAGCGCGGCGACGGGACGAGCGCCGGTCCTTATCTTTGCCGGCCTGAGTCCGTTCACCCTTGATGGGGAGAGGAGGGGGAATCGAACGGAATATATGTTCGTGATGCCGGTATTTTATCTGCATGCGAGGGTTTGCTGATCTTGAGGACAGTCACTGGCTCCAAGACGTCCCCGACCAGAATCAGATCGTTGCGCGGTACTGCAAGTACACAGGCGAGATCCGCACAGGCAAGAATGTCAAACAGATGGTTGGCGCCGCTTTGCAGTTCGCGACCAGCGACCCTAAGGGCTCTGTTTATCTGATGGGTGCGCGCGAAGTCATGGAAGAAGACGTCACCTTGCTGTGCGCGTTTAGGAGGCAGATCGGCTTGAGGATGTGCTTACGGAGGCGATTGGGGCTGTGCGGGGTGGGACGTCGACTGTTGTCGATGCGTTTGTGCAGTAGGTTGGTCTTACAATTGATAATGGGATGAGACCATGAGGTTGAGATGGAATTGTTACGGGCCTTGTGTATATTCTGCAGCAGGCACCACAACCTTAAGTATGTAACGAACGAAGTACGCTATACCCCACGCCCGTGCCCTATGTATCCAGAAGACAACGACAACGTCGGCGCAGGCGCCGTAACAGCATTATCCTGCCCAAGCCCATCATCCCTCTCCAGAATCCCCCCAACATCCATAAGAACCGGCTCCGCCCCCGACCCCGCCTCATCCACCTCCGTCGCCCCCGCCGACGTCCACCGGATCGAATACGCCAGGTTCACATCCATATTCATGTTGCGCTTCAACTTGCGCACGTGGTACATGCGCGACAGCGACCGCGACAGGCCCGGGCTGTGCAGCCTGCGGCCGGACGCCGAGTGCTCGCTGCCCTGGCGCATGGCGCGGCGGCACCCGGCGGCGAGCGGCTGGTAGATGACGGGCAGGTTGGCGCAGAGGATTGTGGCGACGAGTTCCCAGACGCAGGTTATGCTGAAGAGGACGCCTTCGTCTGCGAGAGGGGGGTTAGTGCGTGTGCGAGGTGGTTGGTCGGTTGGTTGGTTGGGAAGGAACGCGGGGAAGGGAGGGATGGGGGGCTCAACGTACAGACGACCTTGGGGTCCGTGAGATCCTGGGTTACTGCGATGCGGATGGCGCCGAGGACGCAGGATCTGTGCATTTCCGGACGTCAGTAGGGTTCCTGGGGAAGCGTATAGGATGCATTATGAGAGGAGAGGAGAGGGCTAGACGGGACGCACGCAAGACCAACGGAGAACAGACAGCCGAGGAGGATCTTCTTCTTGCAGGACATCATGCGCATCTTGGCGATGAGCGGCAGGGGCAGGACGAAGATCCACACGTCGATGACGAGGTTGGTTGCGGAGTGGTAGTAGAGCTTTGTGGCGACGGCGATGCACCGGCCGCCGGCGGTGGGGTCCCAGAAGCGGCGGATGGGCCTGCACTGCAGGATCCAGGAGATCTCGAAGGAGGTCAGCCAGATGAGGATGAAGATGGCGGTTGCGTAGATGATGCGGCGGAAGGGGGGCGATGGGAAGGCGCGGTGGTAGAGGGCCAGGATGGAGAGCTTGGTGCAGCTCGTGGCGAAGAGGAAGAGGTGGCCGGCCACGTAGGTGAGCTGGAGCTGTTAGCGATGGTCATGGTGATGGTGATGGTGATGGTGATGGTGTTACCTTCCCTAGACGCTTGAGGTCCTCAAAGGGGACGGCCTCGAAATGGCGCCCGGAGCCGTAGCGGACCCCTGAGAGCGTGTGAGCATGTAAGCAGATAGGGAAGTTGTTGAGGGCCGTAGATACCTTGAAGGAGCAGGACGCAGATGATGGTGCTCAGGACCTAAGACATCTCGTCAGCCATCCTCTCCCCTGTGCCGGATACGGGACGGGGTGGTACCGTAGCCCAGATGATGAGGAAGCCATCCAGCCATAAGCGGTGATGGTGCAGATAGAGCTCCGTCCACAGGCGCATGGATGTCGCGAGGACGATGATGGGGATGGGCGGGATGATGGCGGCATAGATCGCGGTGACCTTGGACTCGGCCAGGTAGCCGGGGCTCCCAACGGGTGCCATCGTGATGGCAAGACTGTCGATGGTTTGAGGAATGGATGCATGGCGATGGGAGGGTGAGGGCGCCGTGTTAAGTGACGGGGTTCCTTAACTTCCTTTGTCTCGGAGCCGCCTCCAATGGCCGCCCAGGACGCAGGTCATCAACGTCAGCAGAGGCAGCCCCGGCACCAATCAAGGCCCGTCTCTCGTCCCAGCTGGAACGGGTCCATGGGTTTGGTTCAATAGCGCCCACGTGTGTGTCGATGCCAAAGCGAACAATCAGGGCTGCTGGCCTATGGCCTAGAAGCACCGCAGCGCTACCAATCTCCTGTCAGCATAACTCTATTCAGCCCTTGGAAGCTCAGTAAGCACCAAAAGAGAGAGGCGCATCACCCAAGTTTCAAGCCAGCCATACAGTGGCGTCCCCATTTCCCATTTCTGGTTCTCCCCAGCGAGCACGGCACGAGACTGGCCTCTGGCAAGCAACCCTACTGCGCCGGCCGTTGTAATAGGCGAGGTTCAATCAAACACTGCGCGGAACCAGTTCCCTTGCCAGACAAACCTACTTCCACCGCCGTTCGACTACCTCCACGCACTCGAGTGTATTCCTCCCATCACCCCCCACCGTTACATACCAATCGTCGTATCTGTTACTGGCATTAGATACGCGCTCCAAAAGACCCCTTCGTCCAGAAAGATCCATCGTCTACCCCACTAAGCACTGCCAGAATACTGGCCGCGAGGACTAGCGCGAGACGCCACTAAGGCTGGGGCTCGTGTCGCTGGAGGACATTGAGAGGAGCAGGCTAGACGCAGCCTGCTTTTTGTAGGTGTGTCTCTGAACGAACCTTGGAGAAAGTTGAAACCCAGCCTCAAACCCTAATAGGAAGCGACACGCCAGAACCTCAGCGCGCCGTTATTCGTTATTCTGCACTACCCCTGGCCCACGGCGGTTGTGACAGCCTAGGCATACCCGTTGGCAAAGCGCAAAGAAGGAGCAGCCCAACCCAACCCGCCAAAACCAGCTCCACTACGTGGACATCGACGGCGAGGTCTTCATGAGCAGACTACACGGGATCTGCAAGAAAGAATACGGAGGGATGACTATGAACAAGGCCAGATTATACTCGTTGCCCGTCATGCCGAGGTCATTCTAGACGCTGTAAACGGGCGTTACCGATGTTGAGTCGAGGAAGGCGAGTAGAGGGCGCAAGGGGACGGCATCAGGTCGCACATGCGGATACGGACGACGCGGCGGTCGAGAATTGGGCTGACCGATTCAACTTGTGGTTTAGGGGTGTAATGGTTATCTTGTCAATGTGCACGGGACATCGTCAGAGTCCATCCATCGCTGAACGGAGCCTGGAGTGTGTGGGTGAGCGCTACCAAAATCAAGAGTGTCTATCAAAGTCCGGCATTCCACGGCTGAGGATCAGTTTCCCAGTGCCAATAAGATTCCCAGATGTCTCTGGGAGCAGCGCTATCTCGGCGTTGCAGGACGTTGCGGTGACAAGGGGTACTACACTTTCCTGCAGATCGTTAGCATACAAGGGGGGTTGACCTGGGCGAGCAGACTGTAGCATAGTTTGATGAATACGCTGACCATTATATAATGAAGCGCTGCGTAGGAGAGTTCCTCAGATCCAATGGGATCTCGCTTCATGACGATATCACAGGATGGGAGTCACATCTGGCCAGGTCGTTCTTCGAGACATTCCTTAACCATGCTCTTCTAGAACTCTGTCACTTGTCAATGGTTGTTCTTCTTGACCTGGAGCCGGGTGGACCTAATACAAAATGGAGCTGGTGCTTCGGGCATACAAAGAGCAAAGTCCTGCCATACTCGACCCTCGCCTGCCTAGTATCCAACATCCATCACGCACGGCACTGTTGCACTCACCCGCCCATCGTCTCATGTGTATCTCACTCAGCCCTCTCCTTCACGAGGTATAAATAGGGCTTAGGGCTACAGTGCTTGGAGAACCAGCTACCTATCTTCTAGGAGTCAAGGATAAGAAGTATCTGTGCTTGGCTAATATCTAACTACAATAGTGCCGCAGGAATGCTAACTACCAATGGAGACACGACATGGATGCTGCGCGCAGTGAGATGACTCTGCATCCGGACTCGGACTGATACAAAATATAATCGACGGATACCTTCCACCTCATCTCTGAAACACTAACAATGACAATGACAACCCTCCTAATGCCAGGACCCAACTCCATCTCTTACCAAACAGCTGAAAAACGTCATGTTTCGTTTGGCATGGTGAGCGATGTCCGGCGACTTGCCTGGTCTCCCTTGAGGCCGCGTTTGGCCCGGCGCCACGGGCTCCCCTGCAGCATCAACAAAAGAAATTCGTATATGTAGACGACAACATTGCAATACAGCCACTGGAGCTTCTGGCGCCTTGTGGGCTCGCTAATCCGATCTCGGAACGCCTCATCGTCCTCCCACTGGCGGCATATACCGAGATAGCGCGCGGGGTCGTCGCAGATAACGCCATCAAGGCCGTTGCGGATACTCCGCGCCATGGAGAGATCAGAGTCGTCACTCCACGAGAAGATCTTCTGGTTTGGGTACTGCTCTCTGAACTTCTCGCGGAAACGCTGCCCGCGCTCGCTCTCAAAGGCGTGGTTCAACAAGCTGCAGTCAAGGAGTACAGTTTTCCGCCACAGCAGTAACTCGTCCAGCACGCCGATTGCGTAGGAGGGCGACCAAGCTGACAAGGCGACTTTGAAGTCTCCCATACTCCAAACACAGGGGGGGATCCATCCTGCCTGCGCGAGGGATGAGCGGATGCGGAAGAAATGTCAAGTGTACGGCGCTCACCTTCCAGACCGCAAGTACGATCCGATCCTTCCAAGCGGTCCCCTCGACTGGTGCCACTAGCGATATATCACCAGCTATCGCGGGTACCATCAGATTGGGATCGTTGCACATCTACGCAGGGCGAGGAACGCCGCGGTGTTAGCAAAAGCGCTCTCCGGGAGTGACCAGAGCTCGAGTGCGTACCTTGAGATCAAGCAAAACCCAGACAAACCGGTTCTCCGGCTGATTCAGGAAATGCAGCAGATCGGTCAAGCGCGGCATCGGTTCCTGCGCGGCGCCCACGGTGCGGAGATTCTGCAAGTCTATCCAATCGAGGCTCGCGACCTTGCGTCGGACTCCAAAGCAGCGCTTCAACGACTTGTCCTGTCCGTCCACATCAGCATGACTTGCGACCGCAGAGGGAGAATAGGAGGAACGAACGTGCGTCAAGACGGGAACGCCGTCCGCCGACAAATGGACGTCTGTTTGGATGGCGTGGGCGCCGGCCTCGACAGCGGCTCGAAAGGCAGCGAGGGTGTTTTCGGGGACGGTGTCGGACTTGAGGCCGCGGTGGGCGATGGCCTGCGGGAATCGCATCCTCGACAGTGTCCCTGTGTCCCGGTCAGCGAGTCCGCAGCAGCAGGCAAGGTGGCGGCGGCCTGGTACCGTCAGGGTGCCGGTCGGTGGGCTGGCCAACAAAGCCGCAGTCGCCAGTGCGCACGGGGGGAAGCAGATCCTCAAAGGTCTCGCGCCTGGGCACGCGCGGGGCCGCCGCCGCCGAACTCTCGCCGTGCCCATGGTGAGGGCGCTGGGTCCTCCTGTCGATTTCCAGGACGGTGCTCAGGGCCTCCTCCGCGCTCGGCCGACGGGGCTGCTGGGGCTCCGTCAAGTCCTCCCCTCCGTCAGGGAACAAGTCCTCGTGCGTGAGTTCCATGCTGCGTAGTGCTGATCAGGTTATGGGTGAGGATCATGGACGGAGTCGAGTGGGAGATCAGGATCCAGCCTCTGCACCTTCTCAATTCGGCGATTCCTGTTCACCAGCAAACCGGACTGCCTTCCTCTTCTGCAGTGGCAGATCCAACCTTAGAAGGGCAGGCACTGCTTGTCGCTGGTCTTGGAGCAACTAGAGAGCACTACGAATCTGCAAATGCCATGCATACAGCGGGACGGTGAAAGGTACACTATAGAATGCATCACCACCCTGGGCATAGAACCTCTTACGAGCATTACATTCTTTTCATGCGTGCCTCAACACAACTGTAGCACTTGATGTCTGAAGACAGCTGTAGACACCGATTGCCGTCTCATGAGTAGCGTGGTGGGACTGCTCGTCAAGGCTGTTCAGCTCAGCTCTCGAACTATTAGTTTCATCTATAGCTACGGTTAAACTGCGGGGGATGGCGCACCTGCACGATAACAGCCAACGGATTGGCCGGCTCGGTCTCGTATCTGCGCCCGAGTGTCTTACCTATAAAGTTGTCCAGGTATAGCCCTCACCATGCGGCCCAAACACATAAATACGCGCCTCCTCTACAATGTTCATCGGAAAGCAAAGCATCAACATCAGGGCCCGACCTACCATCCCCACCATGGCATCCTCAACCACCATGAACCCCCCCGGCATATCCGTCCACATCACCGTGCACATCCGCGCCGAAGAAATCCCCGCATTCCTGCACGCCTTCCGCAGCACCTTTGACGCCGTCGCCAACGAGCCCGAGTGCACCCTCTTCCAGGTCTACCAGTCGCCCCAGAACCCAGGCGAGATCTCGTGGGTGGAGCACTGGTGTGTCATTGGCCTTCCTGAAGTCGAGAGCATGTGGCTAATACCTACGGTGGCTAGGTCCGCGTCGCTGGAGTATCTCACGGGCGTGATTCTCAACAGAGACTATATCCTTCGGTTCCTTGAGCTCACGGAGCCCATGTATGCGAGGCCCCGCGAGGCGAGGGTTTTGACGAGGGTTGCTGGGCTGGGGATGGTGAAGAGGGGGGAGGGGAGTGGATGATATATATTCTGGGCCACATTCTTTAGTTACTAGATGACTGCCACAGCAAGGCCCTTTTACAAATCAACGTACAGAATCAATCCTGGGTCAGGACAAGGCTGAGAATCCACCCATACTCAGCCTCAATGGAGCACCATAGACAGCAGCCAGCCTTTCGCGCAGTCCAGCGCCTTGCCGAGTCCAACTTCCACTCGTCCAAGCGGCTTCCAAATCAAGGCATCACTGACACTCGGTCTTTGCGCTCGGTATCTGCGCCTTCTTCACAGATCATATAGAAAAGACACGAGGCGAGCAAGGCTGTCCTAGGGTTTCCTCAAGAGCAAGGAAGGTGGATAAAAAAGAAAAAAAAAAGATGGGATGCATCATCCGTGAATCGAACACGGGCCTCATCGATGGCAACGATGAATTCTACCACTAGACCAATGATGCTGGAGTTATTTCTTGGCTTTCAATTTGACAACATGAACAAAAGTACTAATAGATTCATGTCCGAGAGCACCATGGTGTACGATGACGAGGGAGTGGGCATGTGCAGATGAATGGGCAGATTCGGTACCTATGTGGGGAGGTAGAGGCTCAACAAGGATCGGCTGTTCAATCTTATATCGGTCCTGTCATGCGGACAGTAAGATGGCTTGGTATAACAAGACTAACGTCCTTCCTCCTCGGTCAACCACCTCGCCTCCGACCGGCCCCTCCGCCCAGAAGGGACATCGTACTTGAGCTCCGACCTGCCGAGCTTGAATGGCGTCGTGAGGATATGGATATCCTCATCGAGACCCCACTCCTCCCCGCGCATGGTATCAAAGTCCTCCGGGCGCTGGAAGAGGCCGGGCTTGGCCTTCTTCAGGCTGGCGAACGTCTTGGCAATCAGGCTGTTCATCTCGTCGTAATGCCGCAGGTGCAAGTCCCCGTGCTGCTCGCGGAGCGCCTGCTTTACCTCCGGTGTCTGCTCGCCGAGCCTGTAGTACCAGATGTTGTACTGGGTCAGCGAGACGTCAATGTCGAAGGTGGTGCCTTGCTGCGTCCGGAGGAGCAGGGCGTGGGATACGGCTGCTGCGCCGACGAGGCCCATTTGGTAGTCGGAGTTTGCTTCGCCATTAGTGCTGGTTAGGGTTTGGGCAAAAGGGTTGGAGACATACGCAGCAGAGGGACAACGGGCTCGTCCAGTCCCAGGAACTTGCCCTGCATCCACGAGATCCCCACAAGGCAGTCGCTGATCTGCTGCCATCCGGAGCGATGCGACAGCGGCCCCTTCCAGCCGTAGCAGTTCTCTCGTGCATAGATCAAGCTAGGGTTGATCTCTCGCAGCGAGTCTGCGTCGAAGCCTAGCCTCCCCAGCACCCCGGGCCTATACCCGTCAACCAAGACATCAGCAGCCTTGACAAGTTCCGCAAACTTCTTGCGGCCTTCCTCGCTCTTCAGGTTGAGGTTTGTGTCGCGTTTGCCCGTGCTCAGCTCAACCCAGGTCGCTGCGATATCTGGCAGACCCTCCCACGTCACTTTGAGGACTTCAGCGCCGAGGACGGCGAGGATCTTGGAGACGACCGGGGCGGCAATAACGCGCGAGAAGTCGATGACTTTGATGCCGGCCAGCGGGCGAGAGGGGTCCTTGGCCTCTGGCCAGGCTTTTCGAGGCGCGGAACGCGGTTTGAGTGTGTAAAGAGGCTCCTTGGCCATGGTTTGGCCCTAACGACATCATTACCTGCAGTTAGAAATGGCTGCGGAGCCTTACATGCTCACTCGCGAAGAACTCATCCGGGGTATTGCAAATCACACCCGCCTGCTTATACTCCTCGTTCGCAACGCGATCAATCTCCTCTGAATCCCACTGCGCGACCTTGTCCATATAGATCCTCTGCGCCTCCTCATGGGTGACATCCTGCTCCGCAACGCCAACCATCTTCATAGTATGGCCGGCGTTCATCGACCCATGCAGATGGAACCAGCGCCCGTCCTTGGTCTGATAGACATTCGTGCACTGCTGATGGATCGGCTTCTGCGTCTGGTAGAGATCGCCCTTGGCGAGCTCCTTGGTGACGGTCGGGTGCTGCAGCGCGGGCGTCCGTTTGGCGCCGACGGTGGGCAGGATGATCGACATCAGGAACAGGGATGCCACGTCTCTACGCTGACAGTTAGTAACGCTTGGACATTGCTCTCCGAGGCAGCTCACGTGTTGACGGTGATATCCTGGTAGTCGATTCCATATCGGTCCTTGGAGATTGCACTGGCGATGGCGGCAACGTAGGCATTGAGCGCGGAGCTGGACTCGGTGATCCGGAGGGGTGTTGGGATGAACGGTGCGCTGTCGCCAATGAATCTGACTCTCTTTGCTGCTTCTTTGAAGGAGTCCGGCACGTCAATGGCTGTGCCGTTGAGGAGGCGCTCGGCCAGCACCCGGGCTGCTTCGGTTTGGACGCAGTAGGCCATTCTGGAGCGTTCCTGATCAAATTGATCTGACAGGGAACAGAGAGCAATAGATAGAAGAGAGACGAGGGAGGAGGGAGTGTTATGCCTGCAGTGCCGACACCCGAGGTCTGAGCGATGCCGTGCAACAAGCAAGGCCCACCGCTGCCCCTCCCCCTCACCACACCCCCTGGACTGATCACTTCAGATGTCATCAAGGCCATCCCAGGAGAGAAACTACCTCCTGCTCGATACGTTGACGTTCCGTGAGCTCTATAGTGTCGGTATCTGACCAGTGCCTTTCAGGGACAAGCGAATCCCATCTTCGCTACACCGATAAAAGCGAGCAATGATTGCTACATCGAGCAAGACCAAGCGGGACATTGAAGGATTCCCATCAATCGGTTCCATCCTCGTTCTCGGTTCTCGAGGCACTCATGACCTGCGTCTGGCTTTCAGGGCATTGATGATCTCTTCCCCCAGTAGCGTACCTTGGGTGCTCAGGAAGACTCGGTGTAACCGTTACCTGAATAAATAAAGAATGGATAGCCTGTGCTGATGAGTTCCAAGAAGAGGTTTATTACTAGCCAAACACCTCCAGCAATACAACCAGTGCAGTGCGAGCCCAGGCTTCAAAGGCCGCAGGGCGCAAACGCCTATACTATCCCCTACCCCCACATAAGCAGCGTCGACGAGAGCAAAAAGAGTTTTCTTCACGATAGAATCCACCGCGTCATTGCTCTTAGCACACCGGTGAATCTTCTCCCACCCGAACACCGCCGCGTTAACAACCCTCCTGCTCCCAGTCGCTGCGGTGCCCAAGCCCACCACAGTTCCCTGCCGGTCTGGACATCAATAATGAGCTCCTGTGCTCGGGCTCCTCGTACTTTGCCTGAATGCACTTTAAGCTCAGCAGGACTTGGGGTTTCCTTAGCTTTGCCATATGCTCAGGACACTGGAGGACAAGGAAGAGGGTTTCCGCCTAGCGCATTGGCGCGCCATTTCTTGCTGATCAGCTGGCACTGCGGTATTCTTGGACGAGCTAGGGTTGGACGAGGTGTTTTAGAAGACATGGTGTCGGTCTCCGGATGTGGTAGGAGGAGTTAGTATGAGATACAGATACAAAGACTACGGGAATTATCTTCAGTATTTTGGTAGAGATATCCATCCATAAGACAGTCGAGCAGCAATCTATTAGAGACCCCTCTGTCAACTCTGAAGTGAAAGTAGACCAGGCTCTTCCACTGGCTGGGGGACAGAAGCACTAGACGGGAATCGGATACTGGAAGCTTCAGCAACATTGCCAGGTATATTTTCAAGTAACAATACTCACTGTCAGCCAATGGACACACCACGCCTGTAGTCTAAACATAACAAGGAGCATAAATGGAACAAACGCTTTGCTGTTAGGGCATGGCCCGACAATCTGCCGCTAAAACCGGAGGATGCAATATAACGGCCAAGAATAAAGCATGTGCTGGCTGCGAACTGCCTACGTAGACCAACAGAAACCCTACCAAGCAAGACTACTGCCCTCTTGTCGTAGCAGGTGAGCGGTGCTGTCTTATATAGCAGTACAAGTAGAGAACTATGACTGGCTGCAGCAATGAGCTGATCTTCCCGCCACTCGTCTACAGCAAGAATACCCTGGGTATGTAATTACAGCCAAAAAGCCCACACAGTCTTATGCCCGCTCGAGAGTCATCCTAGAGAACCTTGCTAATGAAATCCTCAGCCTGGCTCTCCAAGAGTTGCGGTCCGATAAACTTTGCAACCTCAGCGCCATTCTTGAAACCAATCGTAGCCGGTATAGCGTCCACGCCGTACTTCTCTGCAAGGTCGGCGTTGTCGTCTGTGCTGATCCACGCCTGGTAGAGCGCAGTATACTTGGCCCCAACCCTGCTATTGGGTTAACGTGATGCATGGCTATGGAGGGAGGTATGCTTGAATGGAGGACTTGCTTCTCATAATTTGCTTTGGTTGCTTCGCTGATTTGGCTCCAGACGGCGGAGAAGATCACGATGAACGAACGGTGGTCTTCGATGGCGCTGTCTAGCTGGGATTGACTAGAGCGAGGATCAGTTGTGCTGCGCCGTGGTTGAAGGATTGGGGAAGGAGAGATGACCTTGTAATTTGCTCAAGGGTCATGTTGCCGGTATGGGTTCCTCAGTGTGGAAACTGGCTTGGATAGGGCAGGATTCCGGCACAGATGGCGATAGAATGATTGAAAGCTTTAGTCCACTGGCTGGATTCAAGGGGACATCTTGTCCTTTTAAGCAGTGGTCATGCACAATCCTCCCATTGGGAGCCCTAGTCATTCCATGTGACAAACCTCAAACCCGTTAACCTGAGTATATCGTGTCCTTGCGTCATCCCTGTACAATATGTCAAGAGCAGTCAGCATACAGCAGTCTTCCTCGTCAATGTGGAGAACAAAACTTCATTGGCATACGCCATCATCCTAGGTCTAACAATAGTTGCAGAGTGGTTAGGCGAGGAGACTGGGGACCCGAGTAATCTTGCTTCTTGGCCTGCATGTGCCAGCCAGATTATATATCCCCGCTTGCGCGTACGCAAAGCTCAAAGCTGCATACGTCAGCTGTATGACGCAGAATTCAGCTCAAACCTGGCCTATTCAAACTCGCTGGTTTGACAGCTAAAGGCCGGGCGCGGCAGCTGCGTAACATTATTCATTATGACAAAGGAAGACCCATGAAGAGGAGGAAGAATGCTGCAACACCAGGTAAAGAATCCAGAAGCGGTGGCTGAACTCACCAAAGCGGAGGTCGAGTTGAAGCCCGGCGCCTGCAAGCCCTCGGATGGAACGGCGGCGTCGGGAGAGTACCCTTTGCACCGTAGGCGCCAAATAAGCACTGGAGGGTCTTTAGCTTGTTATGCCACCGTTTCCTCGACCAACGGGCTGAGATCCTACAGAATTTACCGAAGGATGAGGCGATGATGGGAAGTCCCGTGTATCCCGCGACCAAGCTGCTCACTTGCAAAATTGCAGTCCATCAGACATCGGATCGATTCCCGGCTGTTGGCATCTGATCCGGCGCGGGAGGCCAGTTCTCTACTGGAGGAGGTAGGCTGTCTCAGGGTAGAATGGCTAAAGAACTGAGTCACGGACAGGGGCGTGTATTGGCTAAGGATATAATTGCCAAAGTCATGCTCGCGGCGCGTAAATCCGAACTGCTGGCCGCAAACCAGCCCATGTTGAAGGTATACCGGCATCGGAGTGAGTGGCAAGATGAAGATGGTACTGAGCCATATGTAGGCTATGAGGAAAGCCAACACTGACGAGAAGGAAAGAGCTCGAAGAAAAAGGGAAAGGTAGAGAAGAGCATTCGCGCACTTTATTGTGGTGGCAGCCGTGGGCCGCGTGTGATCGATATTAAAGCGAAGAAACCTAAAACACAGCAAATTGTCTGTAGACTTGCACCAAAACCCTGAATATCCAGACTCCAAGTCAGCCGAGCGCCTTGCGAAAACCCGAAATCATTGTCGTTACACCCACATTCCTGGGATAGTCATGCGGCATATCAATCAACCAGAGGCTCGTCATACACATCAGTCATCGACATAAAACTCGCATTTCCGAGCCACCATTTGGACAGATCTATATAGAAGCCGTCGCATTCCTTATCGATGGATTTAAGCTTCGGGGCCCGCACTTTGAGCTCTCGAGTCTTGCCATCATAGAACGCCGCGATGACTCGTATATGGTGCAGGCCGACAATCGAAAACATGAGGACCTGTGAACCGTCAGAGATAGCGCCCCTAAGGGGAAGGAAGACCCCAAGAGCTTACCGGCGCAATGGTATGTGGTCTGGTCGAGGATGTTCTGAGCCGGCCATGCACAATGCGAATGATAGCAGTGAGTTCCGAGCGAAGGAGCTGGCTCCCAGCGGTAAAGCCAGTGTACATCAGAGCGACGATATGGGGCAGTCCGGGGGCACTCATATTCCAGGCGGAGCGGACGGCCCAGCCGTAATCCTGGCTCGTGTCGCAAAGGCTGCCAAAGTTGAAGTCCTGCCCGTAGCTAGAGAACGGAATTAGAATGAAAGCAAGCACGGATGGAAAAATAGGAAAACCGACCAAGCGTACGAAGTACCGGTGGGGATCTTTGCTTCGTCGGGCAGAATGCAATGCTCTCGAAGAATCGGTTCATGTGCCAGGCCAGGGCCACGGCATTGCAGTATGGGGCTTCATCGGAGTCTGTCATGGGAGGGTAAGCGCCCTTGACGGAGTCAATCTCGGGAGGCAGGATGGGCGCGGGTTATTGAGAGAAAAATAGAAAGGGTTGATCGCCAGACAGATTGATTTCCTCATGGCGAGGTCTGTGTCCGACAGCTGCTTGCCGAGATCAATCAACTCTTCAAAAATATCACCAAGTGCCTGGCGATTCCTCTTCCGGGCATCAGCAACAGCAGGATCCATTGTAGCGACCATGTTTGCAACGAAGAAGAGGTGCTCTGGAGTGAGTTGGGACGGAGGGAGAGGGAGGGAGAGGGAGGGAGAGGGAGGGAGAGAAGAGGGAGACGGCCTTTGTTTTGGTCACGTGCGGCTCCTGATTGGCCCGTGGGTGGAGGTGAAGGCGATACCAAGAAACCAACGCAGTCACGTCGAAAAGCACTGGTGATTGGAAAAACATGTTACTACACCTCCCTCGCTTTGGAAACAACCTCCTCAGCCTTGCTTGTATATGACTCCGAGTCTTCATCAACACCGGTTTGAACCTCGGCATCAGGCATCACTTCAATCTTCTCAAACTTGGCTGCGATCTCTTCAAGCGTGAGGCCTTTCGTCTCGACGAAGGTAAAGTAGACGATGATAATGTAAACAAAGTCCCAAGCCGCGTTGATAAAATAGAACTTCCATCCAAGGTCAGCCATTGCATAGGCCATGGCAAAGGAGGCCAGGAGACTGTTGTCAAGTAATCAGCATAAGTCGGTCCGTGGTCTGGATGGAACGCACCCGAACCCCGAATCCAGCATGCGAAAAATCGCGATACCCGTGGTTCGTAGCTTGAGAGGGGACACCTCGGTCGGGTAGAGACTCGTCAACGGGGTGACGGAGAAAGCATAGAATCCTTGGAACAGGAATATCACCGCGATGGTGCCGTAAATGCCTGGGGTATACGTGCTCTCGCCGTAATCTGGAGGAACGCATTAGCAACTAAAAGAATAAGGTGGATGTAGCTCAAGCCCAGCTCACGCTTAATGAGGCCTCCGATCAACAATAGCGTGGCCACCATCCCGCCAACGCCAATGAACATTTGGATCCTACGTCCTAGAATGTCCAGCATGAAGCTACCAAGGATAGCAATGGCAAAGGACCAGCAGTTGATGATGACCTGGACCTGCGTCTGGGTTTTCGTAGCCGTAATGCCCGCTTGGTCGAGTATCTTGGTCAGGTAGTATCTAGGAGCACAAAATCAGAGACCGTCGTGGATGTTTCAGTGGCATTCAATACTCACGAGATAATGAAATTCCCAAACATCTCAATCATAGAGCCGAAAGTGACTAGGATGACCAGTCTTCTCCGGTTGGCTTTTGTCAGAATTTCCCTCCAGGGATTACGCGGGAGCTCTCTTGCTTCGCGCATGAGGGTATCTCTGATCACGCGAAGTTCTTCTTTGCCTTTCCGTATGTCCGTCTTGCCTTTGCCTTGCATGATGATTAAGACCTCCAATGCCTCGTCATTGCGATCCTTGGCGATTAGCCAACGGGGAGATTCTGGAACAAAGGGCACGATACTGATGGCTACCAAACTAGGAACAAACTGGAGTAGTGAAGGAAGACGCCAGGCCCAAGTGCTCTGCATGTTCTGGCTGCCGTAGTTGATAATGGATGATGTCAGACTTCCAACGAAATAGCATGAGAAGAAGAGCCCTAGGATACGGGCTCTCTGGCGAGGGGGTAGCAGTTCAGCCAGCAGAACTGGCGCAGCGCCGCTGCTGATGTTTGCGCCAATACCCACGATAATACGGGCAACGACAAACATGGCGATGTTCTGCGCCGCGGCTTGGAGCGAGATCCCAACGGCTAGTACAACCGCAGAAACGTAGATTGTACGACGTCGCCCGATCCGGTCTGGGATCGGCTGCGTGATGAAGGCGCCGATAATATGCCCAATCCACATGGCCGCATTGTTGAGGCCCTCTGTTGCGGTGGTGAGGTGGAAGTATTCGGAGTAGGAAGGCAAGATGAGCAGGCCATTCATCACGGATCCGTCATAACCTAGGGTCTGCTCTATGTTAAAGAATGTCAGCAGTTGTGACAAGTAGGATAACTCACTGCAGAGTTGATGACGGCCACGGCCAGAAGCAAGGGCATGAGGACCCTGTGGTCCGCCGGGACGAGTTTGGAAACATGGCGACGCTCAAAATTCGTGGCCATCGCTGGTATGGGGTCGCAGGTGGTTATCCTGCAGAGGCCCTGGAGATATGCATATTGTCTTATACTGGCATAAGCTTATCTCTTCAATCCAACAGCGTCCTAGTATTTGATTACTTTGGGACGGTTCAAATGGCGCAGAGCCCCGACGGGCGACCCGATGATAACTATTGATACCCTATAGGACGCAGATATCGTTTTGTTCTTTTCGGACTGTCCGCTAAACACCACCGTCTTATCTTCTTCGAGCATGATAAAGCATCCCTGCTACTCCAACTTCCCCTCAGGGCTCAAGTGAGCCAGGCAGGCTCGGAGCCCGTGGTATTGCGGGTGACCCGCCCCACAGCGTTGGAGTCGATGATAAACTATTTAACATCGACAGTTGTTTTTTGTTGAGAGATCCGCCCGCTCAAGATGAAAAAGCCGGAGAGGAAGTGGCCAGCTTGGCCAGAATACACATACAATGCAGCGGCTGATGCTGAGGACCCCGAGTTCTTAGTGATTAAGAAAGCCATTATCGAAGAATACGGCCCCGACGCTCTTCGAGCGAGCTGGCTCAAGGTGTGCAAAGAGCTGCAGATTATCACCGACGAGATCGTGCAGAAAGGAGACAAGATCATCCCGGTATTCGAGACCTCTCAGGTGCTGCATGGCTTTACGGAGGATCAGGAGGCCGAGATAAAGCGGGTTGGTGCATTCATCTGCCGAGACACTATTCCCGAAGACGAGGCAAGGTTACTCTACAGCGACCTGAAGCGATATGTCGCCGACAACAAAGACTCCATTAAGGCATGGCCGCCGGAGAGCCCGTCGATGCTCATCCTGTATAACTCCCCAACGCAGACGGCACTGCGCGCACACCCTAACCAGCTGAAACTGCAGCGCAAGTTGAACGAGCTTTGGCATGACTCGACTGGCGAGACCTCCTCGGATCCTCTGGTATACCTGGACGGTATCCGTGATCGAGGTCCAGGCGTCCCATTCCTAGGGTTGGGACCGCACATCGACGCTGGCAGCCTCTGCCGCTGGGCCGATCCAACCTACCGGACAGTATATGCCAACATCTTTTCTGGAAACCCCGAGCAACACGATCCATTCAATCTCGGTATACGTAAGAACGCAAACCAAAAGATGTACAGTGGTTCGGCGCACTCGAAGGTCCTGCGCACATTCCAGGGTTGGACGGCTCTCACTCCGACCGCGCCTCGGGAAGGAACCATCATGCTGTACCCGAACATCAAGACGGTTATCGCATACCTCTTACTGCGGCCGTTCTTTTTGCCGCCCGCAGATCCAGCAGCTGACATTATGGATGCGGAAAGTTGGACGCTTGACGAGTCAACCGGTTGGTTCCCGGGAACCACGAAGCCCGATAGCCAGCGCCTGAGCCGAACATCGCACCCGCATCTCAGGCTGGAGGAATGCCTCGTCTATGCGCCGGACATCCAGCCGGGAGATACCGTATGGTGGCATTCCGATGTGAGTTCTGTCCCATTATCGCGTCCGTGGCCCGTCTCGCTGACCGCGGTCGGATCGGTAGCTCTGTCACGCCGTAGACACCGAGCACCTAGGCGAGAACAACGCGTCCGTCGCATTTATTGCCTCGTGTCCCACCACGCCGGTGAACCAGGAATACGTCAAGGAGCAGTTGGCCGACCTTCTCGAGGGTCGTCCCGGAGCGGACTTTGCGCAGCGGAATGAGATTGATGAGCGGAAGCTGAAGGGGTACACTGGCCCGGAGAATGTCAGCACGGAGGCTCGGAAGGCTTTCGGATTCCCTCTGCTGGAAGGGTGATCGGTGTAGACAAAACAACGGGGGTGGAGGATGGGCAGATCATGAAGATACCTTGGTGGAGGTGTGTTGTTCTCGGTTGGTGTTGCGAGGTGGAAGCTTCCCCGGATCGGCCACTGGAGGCCGGTCGCAGTCACGTGGTCCTGGTCCTCTCTTGTCGTTCATCAGCTCCTGAACTGTACTCCGTACTCTGTATACCTCTGTAGACTACTACTCCGTACCGTCATCAAATCGAGCCATCTTTTCCGTCGTTCTGGGTCGGAGTCGGCAGAGACTCCTTAATAATGCCAGTCAGATCACGTGCGCTACCCCTCTCCTTCCGTGTCACCCAGCTATCTCCAGCTCGCCTCAACAACCTTCCCGATGCCTTCAACTACCCTGCAGCGTCATCATGGCTTCCATCCTCGTCTTCCAGGGCGCAGCCATTCATTCTACCAGCCTCGAAACCCTCGAAATCATTGAAAACGCCATTTTAGTCGTTACCGACGGTCGCATCACCGCCTTCCACAAATCCTCCGAAAGCCATAACGGATTTCCTCCAACCGCGCAAGTTCACCGTCTCCCTCCTGGCGAATTCCTCATCCCCGGCTTCGTCGATACCCACAATCACGCGCCGCAATGGCCAATGCGCGGTCTCGGCCAGGGGCTGCACATCCTCGACTGGCTCAGCGAAATCACCTTCCCCGTCGAAGCCCGCTTCGCCGACCCCGCATACGCCGCGTCGATGTACGAGCACACTGTCGAAGACTTCCTTCGCCAGGGGATCACGACTGCTTCCTACTACAGCTCGCGGCACGCCGAGGCAACAAAGATCCTAGCCGAAATATGCCATAGGAAAGGACAGCGGGCGTTTGTGGGAAAATGCAACATGGATAGGAACGCGCCGGACTACATACAAGAGGCAAGCGCTTCTGACTCACTACGTGAGACTGAGGAATGCATCGAGCATATTCGCCGTTTGCCTGGATGCGACCGTGTGGAAGGCGCTCTCGTCAATCCCGTGGTGACACCGAGATTCGCCATCTCCTGCACGCCGGAGCTGCTCCAAGGTCTCGGCGAGATTGTCCAGCGTGATAACTATCTGGCCGTCCAGACTCATTTCAACGAGGCGCAGCAGGAGATAGACGCCACAACGGAGCTCTTCCCTCAGTTCAAGGGTAGCGAGGCCGACCTCTATGAGAGCTACGGGCTGTTGAATTCTCGGTCTATACTTGCTCATTGCACGATCATGACAGATCACGAGAAGGAGAAGATCCACTCGTTGAAGTGCGGCGTCGCCCATTGCCCGATCGCAAATATGACCGTCGGCGGAGGCTTCATGGTCGCCCCCGTGAGGGACCTTCTGCGACGTGGCATCAAGGTCGGGCTTGGAACCGACAGTGGTGGCGGTTGGGCGTCCCAAATGCTGGCCGTGATCCGGCAGGCGATGATCGCTTCGAACGCCCGTGAAGTGCTGTCAGAAGGTAAGGACAAGGCGCTGACGTTTGAAGAGACTTTTTACCTGGCCACACTGGGAGGCGCGCGAGTTCTCCGTCTTGAAGACCGGATCGGCAACTTCGAGGTCGGCAAGGAGTTCGATGCCATATGGGTGTCTACGACGACCGGCTTGCAGTCTGCCATGACACCCCGAGAGGGTGGAGATTCGCTTAGGAGGGTGTTTGAGAAATACATCATGACCGGCGATGACCGGAACGTAGCGCATGTGTATGTCAGGGGTAGGCGAGTAGCAGGTTGTAGATGAACTCTCTTTACACGTACGCTGCGGTACTTTGACAAATATTTCGGGTTCTGTGCTCAGTTTCCTCTGCAGTCGTGGTAATGTATACATCATTTGTGTCGCGTTGTCCGAACGGCAGGTATATATTTCACGGCGGTCGCTCAACTTCCCTATCGAGCACCATACCACAGATTTAATTATTCAATTATTTTTCAAACCAACGATCGGGTGTTCCACTGTGATATCCGGTTCAGCCGCACTATATGTGGACGAGAATTGGATCAGTTCTGTCAGTTCAGTTCGCGGGCAGTGGATGTCTTTGCGAGAATCGAATAGTGCCTGACACACAACGAGCGCAAACGACATTATCCACGCCATCATGTCTGTCAAGGGGACTGACCCGGATATCCTGAGTGAGCGAGAGCGGCTGGCTGTGTTAGAAGCCTGCGCGGACCTGAGAGGTGCCCTCGTGAACCCAATGAGACCACAATGCAAGCAGCTAATTCAGCACGGATCACGTCGAGCCTCGCCTTGCAATAGCTGGAACTGATGCAATGCTTGCAGATTTACGATACCGCTACAGCTGCCACAATGACCGCCATTGATAGGGAACTGTTCGATGCCGCTGTGGAGGCAACGACCAAGAGCCGCAGAGTCTTTGCGTCGTTTAGGGAGAGGTCCCCGCCCTCCAGCTCGGTGTTGTCCGGCCGGGCTATCTCGCAGGATCAGCCGCTCATGGTTGAGAAGACTGAGCACTGCCCGGCTGTCATTCAGACGATGCCATTGTACGATGTCTGCATGGATAGCACCATGCTGGCGATTATATCCGCGTTGAATCGCTCCGAGGCGATGTCCTGGGACCTGCTGGAGGCTGCGACTGAGCTGCGAAAGGTCAGAAGGCCAGAGGTTGTTGTTAATGGGTCGACGATTTTGTTGGAGGCTCTCGAGCGTTTATGTGGTTCTTCGGTCTGCCTAAGATTATATTAACCGCAGACAACGTCATTTGCCTCAGCATTCTGCTAGACCATAGAAACCGATTTGAAATAGGCCAGTCCTGATTCTCCAATATCTTGCTCATGACTAAACCACCCAGATACGTATCCTTAGAGCCTCAAGCACCACCCACCATCCATTCCAATGTCTATCAGAACGTCGTCTCCTCAACGCCCCCCAACACCACAAGTTTCAACTTCGACGCATCCATGAACTCCATCTCATCTTCATCAACAACCTCCTTCGTGCCCCTCTCCATCCTCCGTCCAAAGAACCTCTTAAAGGCAGTCTCATCCACGAACGTCAACTCCGTAATGCAGTCGTAAGGGAAATCCTCCTGCGTTCCGGCGAGTGTGATGGCTGAATAACTGCCGTCCGCGCCTGCCTCCGGTCGAGAGAGGTACATGCGCCTGTGGGAGAGCGGGAAGTCATCGCCCGCGAGGCGTTGGATGGGTGAGAGCTACTTCAATTGTAGTTGCACCTGGTCGGCACCATCACGTGACCGAGAGGAGCGGTCAGGGTGACGTCACAGCCGTTCTTGCGGGAATGACGTCAGGCATCCAGGCACTGCACAACGAGTGGACGACCGCCCAACCTGTTCTTACTCTGATTCCCATGCATCTGCCAGCCTGGATCCAGGGCTCGGAGATGATGTCAAGCCTGCCGCCTCTATATAGGCCCCGGGCGCTGCCGCGGTCCCACGTCTGTCACTCAGCGAAGAGATGAGACGACAATGGACTCACCAGCAAACTCCACCAACTCAACAAAGAGTCGCGAGGGGCCGCGCAAATACGCCTACAACCGCGAAGGCGCTCGTGAGCGGGAAACGCACTTGTAACATTCTCCCCGTCCTCGGATTCTAGTCGCAGACATGGCTAACATCGCACAGATATCTGCCTTACTGGGGCTTCTCCGATTCCGAGAAGTTCGCTCAGGAGTCGGTTGGCAACTACCCCAACGCATCGCGCGACAATGTCCTCACCGTATTCGCCCAATTGGCCGCCCTGCGCATGAACGCCCAGCGCGCCATCATCTCCCTGTTCGACAAGCGGCAACAGCATGTCATTGCAGAGGCGACGCCAAAATCGGGGTTACGCGGTGCGGAGGGTCGCGATCAGGGCGAGGGCTTCTGGCTTGGAGTAGGACAGTTTCCTCGAGAGAGAATCACCATGTGCTACCACGCCATGAAGTCGTTTGTCGAAGACCAAAATGAGCTGTTCGTGGTCAACGACCTGACCAAGGATGAACGGTTCCGCGACCACGAGTCTGTTACAGGCCATCCTCACAACACGTTTTACGCTTCAGTGCCGATTCAATCGCCGGATGACTACATCATTGGCGCTGTAGCAATCCTAGACAACAAGCCCTGGGATGGGATATTCGACGAACAGCGGACTTTCCTGACAGAACTTGCAGCAACAGTGATGGACCATTTACTCTCACAGCGAGCAATGCGCGAGGAGTATCGCGAAGAGAAGATGGTCCGCGCCCTTGGGTTATTCGTCAAGGGCAAATCTGACCTCAACGAGTGGTTCGACAGTGGAGAAAGCTCGAAGCATCGAGATCAGATGGGTCAAGTCAACAAGAAATTGGAGAGGATGCAGGTCTCGGGGTCCGGCAGCGCGAATGACGACGATCTGGAGGATAAGGACGAGGATCAAAACGGCAACCGAAAGGGCAGTGGTAAAAGCGATGAAGGAGGGAATAGGCCATCGACTGAGGAAAGGAACAAGCACGAGTCGCCGATCAAAAAGTTCCATCAAAGCAACAAGGAGCAGCATGAATCAAAATCCGAGTCTCCAGAGGGTTCGGAGTCACAGAAGAAACAGCGACCGAAGCTGTCTCCGACCACCAGCCACTTGCAAGACAGTCTGGCTCCAACAAATGTGCGATCTGTCGTCAATCGTGCAGCGTCTATGATTTACCAAGCACTGGACCTCGAAGGTGTCATGTTTATCGATGCCAGCGTCTACGCGCGCCGCCAGACGGTCGGGTCCAACCAGAACGAGCAGAAGCGGGACGAGTACAACATCGAGCATCAGGAACGCAAGGACTGTGGGGAGGACGACGTTCCATCGGCAACTCAACGTGATTCTCGTTCCAATTCAACTGCGTCAGAGAACGAGGAGGAAGCTCGAAGCCTGGTGTTGGGCCACTACACATCAACTACGTCAGAAGGTGGTGTTGACCTGAGCGACAGCCATTACGTCTCATTGTCCGGATCGTTCATCAATCACTTAATCGACCAATACCCCCGCGGAAAGATATTTCACATCGAAGAGGACGGTTCGATAGCGTTGAGTTACGAGGGTGTGGCCGATGAGATGAACTACTCTGTGAACGGCAGTCGGGGTGCGGCGACCAGCAGCTCAGATAGCGTCGACGTCAGGCAGGAAACCTCGGACGTCAAGCAGCTCATGAAGGTCCTCCCCGATGCCCGGTGCATTGCCATATATCCCATATGGGACTTCCAGCGCGGTCGATACTTCACCATCAATGTTGTCTGGACCAATGATCCTGGTCGAGTGTTGTCGGAACCAAAGGACTTGACATACTTGGCTGCGTTCAGCAATACTGTGATGGCTGAAGTATCTCGCCTGGACCTCGAGGCCGCGGATCGCGCCAAAGGGGACTTCATCTCCTCGATTTCACACGAACTGCGGTCGCCACTGCACGGACTTTTGGGAACCGTGGAGCTCCTCCAGGAAATGGTGACCGGGTATGCCCAACATTCTCTCATTGAAACTGTGTATAGTTGTGGCCGGACCCTGCTCGATACTTTGAACCACCTGCTCGACTATGCCAAAATCAACACGCTTACACGCCCAGGCCAAACGGAAAAGTCAGGAAAGAAAGGCTTCACGGAAGCACAGCCCGCAGTACCTGGGTCTCTACAAGACGAGGACCTGGGCGTATTGGTGCAGGAAGTCGTCGAAGGCATCCTTGCCGGGGTCGAATACCAGCGTCGCGGGGCTGAGGGTGGTAGCAATGAACGAAGACTTTCGAAGAGCAATGGTACTGGCCGGCTCATGACAATCGTGGATATTGAGTGGAACGACAATTGGCGATACAGTATTTACGCGGGCGCCTGGAGACGCGTGGTGATGAACTTGTTCGGGAATGCCCTCAAGTACACACAGACAGGGTATATTCGCCTCCTGATGAAGAGCGACACCTTGAAGCGCGACGGCAGGAAATCGGTTCCTGCAATCAGAATGACCTTCAGCGACTCCGGACGCGGCATGTCCAAGGATTTCATTGTCAACCACCTCTACACTGCCTTCCACCAGGAAGATACAACGGCGCCTGGACTTGGAGTGGGGTTGCATCTGGTACACCAGATTGTCAAATCCTTGAACGGAACAATCAACTTCACGAGTGACATTGGCCGAGGTACGGATGTCGATGTTGTTCTGCCCATCGACCCGCCTGAAGAGTCAGCGCTTTCATCTCGCGCCTATGGATCATTGAAGGAGAAACTGGAAGGGAAGACCATATCCCTCTTCACACGGAGTTCCAAGCTCGGCGATATCGGAATGGATCCGAAGGTCTTCGACCATATACTGACCAGCCTTGGGCGCATGACGACGGGCTGGTTCGGTCTACGAGTCCTGACCACAGACGAGCATGACCGTGGAGATGCGGATTTCGCCATCGTCACAGAGCACGAGTACCGAATGTACTACCGCAAGGGGTCTAGCGAACCACAGGATGGGCGGTCAGGGGAGATTCAACCAACATATCCATTGATCGTGCTGAGTGAGCGGACAAGCGGGTGGAGGACAATAGGAGAGACCGTGGACGACTCGGCTATCTTCCTTACGCAACCGTGAGTTTCTCCGCATATAAAGTCAGGCAAGCAACTAACAGACTAAGGGTGAGTCCAAAGTCATTGGCAACCGCGTTCGAGCACTGCCTAGCTAGTCCCAGTCAGAGTGGGCTGTCCACCCCGCGCAAGTGGTCGTCACATGTCTCGCATGTCGATGACGGCGAGAGTGCAAGTGATGGTCGACCAACTCCGACTGATGGCGAGGAGGAGACTCAAGACGAGTCCACCACAAACAAACCACCAGATAGCCAAGGAGCACGCAGAATCCTCCTGGTAGAAGACAACCAGGTCAACCTCAAAGTCCTCGAGATGGCCGTGAAGACAGCCGGTCTGGGCTATCAGACAGCCACAAACGGCCTCGAAGCCCTTGAGAAATTCAAGAAAGAGCAATTTGACGTGGTGATCATGGACGTCTCCATGCCGGTCATGGACGGACTCACCGCGACGCGAGAGATGCGCAAGTTCGAGCGACGCAACAAGCGACGGCGAACAACAATCATAGCGTTGACCGCTGTACTATCCGCATCCACACAACACGAGGCCACGGTCAGCGGCATTGACTTGTTCCTGACGAAGCCTGCCCCCTTGAAACAGTTGAAGGAAATGCTGCGGAAGTTATCGGAAGGGAAGAAAATTGCGGAGAAGTAACGGGCTGGCATGTACTTGTAACACTATACGACCACGATCTGTCTCGGTCTGTGACCGCGACGACGGGCGTGAAAATATGTACTATAGCGATGATGACAATAGACGAATTATGGCCGTTTTTCGGACGAGTGCAACCAGGAGCGGCTCTGAGCCTAAAATGGGTGTTTTGGTATCTGTCACGGCCGTCTGGCTTTCGCCCTCGTCCCTCAATACACTCTCGAGGAAGTCTGACCGAGTAGACCACCGCCATTGCTTATAATCCTGCGACGGGTCCGCCTAGGGTCTTACCTGGGAAGTCGAGTCCTTCCTGATATCCTACCAAGGTCGCATCCAACGGTATGGAGTCGCAGAAGTCACGCAAGGTATACCGTATACCAAGCAATCCCGAACATCGGATATCGAACAAGTCACCAGCTTGGCTTGATCGAGAACGCATGGATCGAACGTCTCAAGAACCGTTCCAATCCGAACCCGCTTTGGTCAAGGTCAAGATAGTTCCCCACGGTCCGATCATCCCATTGAGAGCATCAGTTGCTGCTTGGGCCTGGGAAGCGGTAGCAAAGTCGACGTAAGCGTAGTGAGGAGCATTTGACGCGGCTCTTCCTTGGTAATGGGGACAAATGGTCTTGCTGATCGCCTCCCTATCAATTCGCGATTATGGTTAGTAACGATAAGTCAACTAGACAGTGGCAAACTCACACCCCAAACCCAACAAAGAACTCGGCCAGTTTCTCGTTCATGTAGGCCTGGGTCGATGGCTTGGGCAGGCCACTGACAACCAAGCGGCATCCTCTCGCAGCGTAACCCCTGAAATGCCGGGCCGCATCACTTCTCTGCCAACGGTCAAACACATACCCAGACCTCTCGCCATTGTCTCTCCGCTGCTCCTTCGGGACGCACGGCTTCACCTTAAGCGGTCTTCCCTGAAAATCGCGTCCATTCAACTCGTCCATAGCATGATCCGCCTTGTCCTTTGTGTCGAATTCAACGAAGCAATACGAGGGGTTCCGGCCGGTGAAAGGATCGACGGAGATGTCGATTGCAGTACTGGGAACGTTCTAGTCAGCGGCCTTGGAAAGAGAGGGAACTGTGGAGCCATCGGGGGAACACACAACTCGTAGCCCGCATCTTGAAGAAACGTGGCGATTTGATTTTGTTTGGCAGCATATGGTAGGTTTCCAACGTAGATACGGCGCCCCTCTGCTATGGCCGTTGCGGCATCAGTTGACTGTTGGGTTATCCTCTTGGGTGTGGAGCGGGGGGGGAGCAGCGTCCTGGGTCGATAGCTCCGCGGTTGGAGTGCGCCAGTCGGGCGAGGCAATTGCGCGGCCGTTCCATCTCTGATCTGTTGGAGCAAGGATTGTCAACTGATATCCAATGCAATGAGAAAAGAGGGAGAATACCTCTGCTGCGCCAATCCATGTTGCTTAGATCTGGGCGAGCTGAATACCTAGTGTGGAGCGTGAGGGGAAACAAGGCCGTGTTCGTGCAGCTTACATAACCGGAGTTATGCAGCGCACGTAGCCAGAACTGTGCAGCTTACATAACAAGAGTTGTGCACGATACGAGGTCCACTGCATCAGGATCAGGAAGCCTGGGAAGTTTCGATACCCCGAAGAGGGGAGGTCTGACCAAATGACATTGTGCTAAAGAACAACCGCCACTTGACCGGGTGTCCTATCTTCCGCGCGGCTTCTTGAGGGTTATCAACCGTTTCTCCCCAGCTTATGACAGATCTCAGACGTTCTTCCCAGACGTTCTCCTCCGCCCAACCCCCAGGACCAACGGTGCTTGAATGGATCTATTGTCGGACTACCAAGTGAGGCCCACAATAGACACAATGTTAAAATACCCTGTAGCCCGCGTGCTAAGTGGTTGCAGTACTTTAGTTTAACCCCTTAAAAAATAAAGGTTATTCCGTTGGGTAAATAGTAACTCACGTGGCCCTTTAGCTTAATAATTACGTGCTAGTGCTGTAATAACCTAATTTAGCCTTTAAAGGGCAATTTTAGCTTATTTTAGGCTTTAAAAAGCCTTATATAAACACCTAAAGCCTTTAAAAAGTGCTAAGTACCTATTTTTATTAGGGAAGCACCTATTTTTTTTTCCGGGCTTAAACAGGCTAAAACTAGGCTGGAAATTACTTTTTAAAAATTTTTAAAAACCGGGAGGTCCCGGGTTTAAACCTGGGTATAATTATGTAAGTTTTTTTTTTATAGGTTAGGTAAATTAGGTGGAGTTAGAAAGTTAATTTACCACTTTTTAATTAGGCTAGTGCGGCGGCAAAAACCTTTAAAAAGTATTAAACTTTTAAATTCTAATTTTACATATAAAAATTTAATATGCTTGGCTTAGTAAAAAAGTGTTAATTCTTGCTTATTTAAACTAGTAACTTTAAGCTAATAAAAAGCTATTATTTAAAATATATTTAAAATAGCCCTGTACTTAGAATTGCAAAAAAAATTAAAAAGTACTATCTTAATATTTAAAAAATTTATAAATTAAAAACCTAGCATAACTTTATGGTATTAAGTCCTTTATACTTATTTATAACCTTATTTAATTTATAAATATTTAAGCAAGCTATTTAACTAATAAAAACCAAGTGAAGACAACCGGCCGTAATACAAAAAAAATAATTAAAAGTAAAAAGAAAACAAGTAAATAAATAAACTAATTTTATATTAAGGTTTAGGTAACTTAATTACAAGAGGCTTAAGCTTAAAAGCTAGGGAATATTATAGTTAAACTAGTTAGCTAAATATTTTAATAAATAAAGTATATGTACATGCTAAGCAGCCCTGCGCTTAATATTTACTAAGTATATTAAAGTTATATTACTGGCCTTTAACTCTTAAGGCTTAAACTAATTATAGTTAAAAGGCTTTTTAAATAAAATTTTATTTAGTGTTTTAACATAAGAGACTGCTATATATATTAAACCTGGCAAAAAGTTTTTTTTTAATATATTTAAAACTGCTTTATTAATAGTTATTCCCTGTGCCTTATAAATAGTAACAGCATATGTAAAAGTTAAAAAAAACTAGGTATGGTAATAGGTTATATTTGCCCTAGTAAACTCTTGCTTTAAAAAATAAATAAGTATAATATAATTTTTATTATTAATAGTAACGCCTGGCCTAGTATACTTATTAAACTTAATATAAATAGCGCCCGGGAGATTTATACACAAATTAAAGTTAGGCAACTAGTTAATATTAATAATAGTGTTTAAAAATCCATTTACTAGGCTGGCTTTAACCTAATAATTTTTTACTAATATAACACAGGCGCCTATATAAAGGTGCAAAGTAAAATATAAATTATTTATATTCTTAGTTAATATAGTCTTTGTATTTTTACCCTTATATATAATATTAATAACTAAAATTACATGGTTTAGATCCCGCAACGCGTTGTGATTCCGGGCAGAAACCTAAGTTTTTTTATAATATATACATAATATATTCTTAAAATTATCCTTGCCGCCATAAATTAATTATATACATAATAAAAAAAGTTTTTAATTATTTCTTATTACCCTATTATAATAAAGGTTTTGTAAAGTAGTTTTAAAGACTTTTATATATAAATTACTTTTATCTTGCCGCTAAATAATATTAAGCTTAATGGTAATATTAAATAAATAATATAAATGGCGTGCGTGAACCTTATTAATATTTTTTAATAGCTAATTATAAAACAACAGGCGCTATATAATAAGTGGTAATTAGTAAAAATCCCCCGCAAGAATAAAACTAATTTTTCTAAAGTTATTATTAATAGTAGAAAATGCTTTATAATAATATTAATTAATCCACTGCATATATGGCAACCCAAGCATGGACTTTTTATTAATAATAAAATAATATATACTAAAAAGAAGACTTTAAAGCACGCGCAAGTTTTATAAATTTAATACCTAATACTTTTGCTAAATACTAACCAGGAAATAAAAAAGTGCGTGTAAAGTATACCCTAATATAGTATTTATAGTAACTCTAGTTAAAGCAGCGCGAATAATTAGTATTTTTTAGCTAGTAGCCATGGTTATATTTTATAAATATATAAATATTAGTTTAATGGCATGTGTTTTACTAGTTCCTGCCTAGTTATTTAAATTAACTTGGATAAAGCGCGGAGAGTTACTAGTAAAAATAAATTAATAATACTTAATTATAAGGTTATATAGGTGCTGCTGCTTAACCTTTAATCCTTTAATTAATACTTTAAAATGCAGTAATATAGTAACTAAAAATATTATTTTAGTATTATTTTATTATTCGTGTTTTATTATAGTTTTAGGATACTTATTAATATAAGTATTTTAGTTATAAAAGTAATTAATATTATAATTTTTAAGTAAATTAGGATTCTTAAGGCATGTAAAATTATTTTTTAAAAGCTATATAGTAAGCTTAACCCATGCTTCCTACTTTTTTTTATTTATTTACTTAAAATTATTATTATTATTCTTATCCGGAGCTGGAGCGGTAAGAATATAATAAAAATTATTTAAATAATTATATGCTTCCTGGCAAATAATATACGCGTTATAAAAAGTTAAATACTTAATATTTTTAATAATTTTTAAACTATTAATATCTTAAAACTAGTGGTAAAGCATTAGCTTTACACGCGCTAAATTTTTAGTTTAATTAATAAAATACTTTAAAAAGTAATTTAAAACACGCGCCTTTTCCTAATATTAGGAATATATCTTAGCCACACTCCTGTACTTATAGTTTAAAAGGAAATCTAGAAAAGTAATATTTTTATACTTATTTAAACACTATTTATATTTAATAAAAAAAAGAAGGCCTTTCCTAAAAGCACTATTAGCCTCTAGATTATTATTATTAGCCTAATTAATAATAAATAACTATTCTTATTATTTCTTTAAATAATAATTAACATAAGTAACTATTTATAACCCCTGTGTTAAAAGTAAATAAAGTAAAAAATAGTAAATCTCCTGCGCTAATTAATCCCACTTAAAGATTAACTTATTTATTAATTTTACCATGGTAAAGAAAAGGGGATTATCCGGGTTTAAATATAGGATTAACTTTATTATTATATTCTTATATAATATAGTCTTTGTTTCTATTTTTATAATATATTTAGTAATATAATTTATTACTACACAAGCGCTTGTATAGGGTGCTATATTTATATTTACTAGCTAACCTATAAATATTAATTAATTATAGTAATTTAAATATAAATTATTATATTTAGGATATAGCCAGTAATAAAACACCTAAAAAGGCTTAGCTAAAAATGTATTCTTAGTATATAATATAAAATAATAAAAATAGTAATAAACCTTTTTAAATTCCTTTTATTTTTTAAGGTAGTACGCTTTAAAGCACTAGTATTTTTATACATAATTTAAAATTATAAATAAATAAGTAACTGTATTATGCTAATTTTTTAAAAATAAAAATATTATAAAATACTTATTTACTAGGTTAAACTCCCGCCTAGGCTTTAAATTAAGTATAAATATATAAATACCCTAAAACTTTGTAAATGTGTCTCGTGCTTTAGGAAAGATATATTTTACTTTAAAAAAAGGAATATTAGTAGCAAGAGTTAAATTAACCTAGTATAGTCTATGTAAATATATTAATTTATAGCCTTGCTATTTAAAATAAAACTACTTATTATTAATTTTAAACTTAGGCTTTAAAATAGTTTTCCTAAATATTTTAAAACACAACTAAAAATAGTAGGAAATAATATAAGGATTTTTATGTAAATTATCACGCGTAATCTTAATTTATTTAGTTAATAATTCTTAATACCACTTTTTAAAGCAAGGGAGGTGCTGCATTAAATTATACTAGTAAAGATTAGTAATAAATAATATTATAAATAAATATGGCGCACTTAAATTTAACATAAAAGACTTAATTTACCTGCGCTTTCCTATTTAAAATAAACAAGTGCCTTTTAAATTACTAAAAAATTAGGTAATTAAGTTTAATAAGACAGCGAACTTAGGACTATTATTTTAAAAAGTAGCTTAAATATTTTTAATAATAATATTTACATGCGTACTAGCCTTTTAATAAATATAAAAACCCACCCAAGTATTTACTTATTTTTTTATAATTATATTA